TTCAGGTTGTTATAGGATCAGTCAGGGAGATGGTATAAGGAGTTACACACAGCTATCCCTGCTTGGATTCAGGTTGTTATAGGATCAGTCAGGGAGATGGTATAAGGAGTTACACACAGCTATCCCTGCTTGGATTCAGGTTGTTATAGGATCAGTCAGGGAGATGGTATAAGGAGTTACACACAGCTATCCCTGCTTGGATTCAGGTTGTTATAGGATCAGTCAGGGAGATGGTATAAGGAGTTACACACACAGCTATCCCTGCTTGAATTCAGGTTGTTAAAGGATCAGTCAGGGAGATGGTATAAGGAGTTACACACACAGCTATCCCTGCTTGGATTCAGGTTGTTATAGGATCAGTCAGGGAGATGGTATAAGGAGTTACACAGAGCTATCCCTGCTTGGATTCAGGTTGTTATAGGATCAGTCAGGGAGATGGTATAAGGAGTTACACACACAGCTATCCCTGCTTGGATTCAGGTTGTTATAGGATCAGTCAGGGAGATGGTATAAGGAGTTACACATACAGCTATCCCTGCTTGGATTCAGGTTGTTATAGGATCAGTCAGGGAGATGGTATAAGGAGTTACACACAGCTATCACTGCTTGGATTCAGGTTGTTATAGGATCAGTCAGGGAGATGGTATAAGGAGTTACACACAGCTATCCCTGCTTGGATTCAGGTTGTTATAGGATCAGTCAGGGAGATAGTATAAGGAGTTACACACACAGCTATCCCTGCTTGGATTCAGGTTGTTATAGGATCAGTCAGGGAGATGGTATAAGGAGTTACACACAGCTATCCCTGCTTGGATTCAGGTTGTTATAGGATCAGTCAGGGAGATGGTATGAGGAGTTACACACACAGCTATCCCTGCTTGGATTCAGGTTGTTATAGGATCAGTCAGGGAGATGGTATAAGGAGTTACACACAGCTATCCCTGCTTGGATTCAGGTTGTTATAGGATCAGTCAGGGAGATGGTATAAGGAGTTACACACAGCTATCCCTGCTTGGATTCAGGTTGTTATAGGATCAGTCAGGGAGATGGTATAAGGAGACACAAACACACAGCTATCCCTGCTTGGATTCAGGTTGTTATAGGATCAGTCAGGGAGATGGTATAAGGAGTTACACACAGCTATCCCTGCTTGGATTCAGGTTGTTATAGGATCAGTCAGGGAGAAGGTTATAAGGAGTTTCACACAGCTATCCCTGCCTGGATTCAGGTTGTTAAAGGATCAGTCAGGGAGATGGTATAAGGAGTTACACACAGCTATCCCTGCTTGGATTCAGGTTGTTATAGGATCAGTCAGGGAGATGGTATAAGGAGTTACACACACAGCTATCCCTGCTTGGATTCAGGTTGTTATAGGATCAGACAGGGAGATGGTATAAGGAGTTACACACAGCTATCCCTGCTTGGATTCAGGTTGTAATAGGATCAGACAGGGAGATGGTATAAGGAGTTACACACAGCTATCCCTGCTTGGATTCAGGTTGTTATAGGATCAGACAGGGAGATGGTATAAGGAGTTACACACAGCAATCCCTGCTTGGATTCAGGTTGTTATAGGATCAGTCAGGGAGATGGTATAAGGAGTTACACACACACACAGCTATCCCTGCTTGGATTCAGGTTGTTATAGGATCAGTCAGGGAGATGGTATGAGGTTACACACAGCTATCCCTGCTTGGATTCAGGTTGTTATAGGATCAGTCAGGGGAGATGGTATGGGGAGTTACACACAGCTATCCCTGCTTGGATTCAGATTTGTTATAGGATCTGATCCAGGGGAGATGGTATGAGGTTACACACAGCTATCCCTGCTTGGATTCAGGTTGTTAAAGGATCAGACAGGGGAGATGGTACATGAGGGGTTAAACACACAGCTATCCTGCTTGGATTTCAGGTTGTTATAGGATCAGTCAGGAGATGGTATGGGAGTTACACACACAGCTATCCCTGCTTGGATTCAGGTTGTTATAGGATCAGTCAGGGAGATGGTATAAGGAGTTACACACAGCTATCCCTGCTTGGATTCAGGTTGTTATGGGATCAGTCAGGGAGATGGTATAAGGAGTTACACACACAGCTATCCCTGCTTGGATTCAGGTTGTTATAGGATCAGTCAGGGAGATGGTATAAGGAGTTACACACACAGCTATCCCAGCTTGGATTCAGGTTGTTATAGGATCAGACAGGGAGATGGTATAAGGAGTTACACACAGCTATCCCAGCTTGGATTCAGGTTGTTATAGGATCAGACAGGGAGATGGTATAAGGAGTTACACACAGCTATCCCTGCTTGGATTCAGGTTGTTGTAATAGGATCAGACAGGGAGATGGTATAAGGAGTTACACACAGCTATCCCTGCTTGGATTCAGGTTGTTATAGGATCAGACAGGGAGATGGTATAAGGAGTTACACACAGCAATCCCTGCTTGGATTCAGGTTGTTATAGGATCAGTCAGGGAGATGGTATAAGGAGTTACACACACACACAGCTATCCCTGCTTGGATTCAGGTTGTTATAGGATCAGTCAGGGAGATGGTATAAGGAGTTACACACAGCTATCCCTGCTTGGATTCAGGTTGTTATAGGATCAGTCAGGGAGATGGTATAAGGAGTTACACACAGATATCCCTGCTTGATTCAGGTTGTTATAGGACTGGGTCAGGAGATGGTATAAGGAGTTACACACAAGCCATCCCTGCTTGACTAGGTTGTATAGACTGCAGACAGGGATGGTATAAGGAGTTACACACAGCTATCCCTGCTTGATTCAGGTTGTTATAGATCAGTCAGGAGATGGTATAAGGAGTTACACACAGCTATCCCTGCTTGGATTCAGGTTGTTATAGGATCAGTCAGGGAGAAGGTTATAAGGAGTTACACACATCTATCCCTGCTTGGATTCAGGTTGTTATAGGATCAGTCAGGGAGATGGTATAAGGAGTTACGCACACAGCTATCCCTGCTTGGATTCAGGTTGTTATAGGATCAGTCAGGGAGATGGTATAAGGAGTTACACACAGCTATCCCTGCTTGGATTCAGGTTGTTATAGGATCAGTCAGGGAGATGGTATGAGTTACACACAGCTATCCCTGCTTGGATTCAGGTTGTTATAGGATCAGACAGGGAGATGGTATAAGGAGTTAAACACACAGCTATCCCTGCTTGGATTCAGGTTGTTATAGGATCAGTCAGGGAGATGGTATAAGGAGACACACACACACAGCTATCCCTGCTTGGATTCAGGTTGTTATAGGATCAGTCAGGGAGATGGTATAAGGAGTTACGCACACAGCTATCCCTGCTTGGATTCAGGTTGTTATAGGATCAGTCAGGGAGATGGTATAAGGAGTTACACACAGCTATCCCTGCTTGGATTCAGGTTGTTATGGTAGGATCAGTCAGGAGATGGTATAAGGAGTTACACACAGCCATCCCCGCTTGGACAGGTTTGTGCCATAGGATCAGTCAGGGAGATGGTATAAGGAGTTACACAGAGCTATCCCTGCTTGGATTCAGGTTGTTATAGGATCAGTCAGGGAGATGGTATAAGGAGTTACACACAGCTATCCCTGCTTGGATTCAGGTTGTTATAGGATCAGTCAGGGAGATGGTATAAGGAGTTACACACAGCTATCCCAGCTTGGATTCAGGTTGTTATAGGATCAGTCAGGGAGATGGTATAAGGAGTTACACACACAGCTATCCCAGCTTGGATTCAGGTTGTTATAGGATCAGACAGGGAGATGGTATAAGGAGTTACACACAGCTATCCCTGCTTGGATTCAGGTTGTTATAGGATCAGTCAGGGAGATGGTATAAGGAGTTACGCACACAGCTATCCCTGCTTGGATTCAGGTTGTTATAGGATCAGTCAGGGAGATGGTATAAGGAGTTACACACAGCTATCCCTGCTTGGATTCAGGTTGTTATAGGATCGTGACAGGAGATGGCAGGCAAGCGGAGCGCACACAGCCATCATCCCTCGCTTGATCCAGGTTACTGTTATAGGATCAGTCAGGAGATGGTATAAGGAGTTACACACACAGCTATCCCTGCTTGGATTCAGGTTGTTATAGGATCAGTCAGGGAGATGGTATAAGGAGTTACACACAGCTATCCCTGCTTGGATTCAGGTTGTTATAGGATCAGTCAGGGAGATGGTATAACGAGTTACACACAGCTATCCCTGCTTGGATTCAGGTTGTTATAGGATCAGTCAGGGAGATGGTATAAGGAGTTACACACAGCTATCCCTGCTTGGATTCAGGTTGTTATAGGATCAGTCAGGGAGATGGTATAAGGAGTTACACACAGCTATCCCTGCTTGGATTCAGGTTGTTATAGGATCAGTCAGGGAGATGGTATAAGGAGTTACACACAGCTATCCCCGCTTGGATTCAGGTTGTTATAGGATCAGTCAGGGAGATGGTATAAGGAGTTACACACACAGCTATCCCTGCTTGGATTCAGGTTGTTATAGGATCAGTCAGGGAGATGGTATAAGGAGTTACACACAGCTATCCCTGCTTGGATTCAGGTTGTTATAGGATCAGTCAGGGAGATGGTATAAGGAGTTACACACAGCTATCCCTGCTTGGATTCAGGTTGTTATAGGATCAGTCAGGGAGATGGTATAAGGAGTTACACACACAGCTATCCCTGCTTGGATTCAGGTTGTTATAGGATCAGACAGGGAGATGGTATAAGGAGTTACACACAGCTATCCCTGCTTGGATTCAGGTGTCCCTGCTTGGATTCAGGTTGCTATGGATACCATATTATTTAAAGGGCTCCCTATCCCCCCTGTACCCTGGGTGTGACCCCTGACCCGGAAGTGCCGTGCGGCCCCTTTAAGAGCGTTTACCAGGCGGCTGCCCCTCGCTGGGAATCCCCGGATGTTCGGCGGCACGGCGGAGACTGAACGGTGGAACCGCCCCTCCAGCTTCCTCCAATCAGAGATAGAGGGGCGGGGAATCCTGAGACAGACAGCGATTTTCACCAATGGCAGAGAGAGTGCAGAGCTCCACTATGAGGGCGTGTCCTGTTACATAGCAACAGGGTTTAACCCCTTAACCCCAGCAGTGCCAGAGAGGTAGTGACTATCAGACTGTGTGAGTGAGAGAACCTGGCACTGTGACACTGAGTGTGAGTGACTGATACTGAGTGTGACACTGAGTGTGAGTGACTGTCACTGAGTGTGAGACTGAGTGTGAGTGGCTCATACTGAGTGTGAGGTTGCTGTCACTGAGTGTGAGTGGCTGATACTGAATGTGAGTGACTGATACTGAGTGTGAGTGACTGTCACTGAGTGTGAGTGAGAGAACCTGACATTGTGAGACTGAGTGTGAGTGACTGATACTGGGTGTGAGTGTCTGTCACTGAGTGTGAGTGAGAGAACCTGGCACTGTGACACTGAGTGTGAGTGACTGTCACTGAGTGTGAGACTGAGTGTGAGTGGCTCATACTGAGTGTGAGGTTGCTGTCACTGAGTGTGAGTGGCTGATAGGGAGTGTCTGATACTGAATGTGAGTGACTGATACTGAGTGTGAGTGACTGTCACTGAGTGTGAGTGGGAGAACCTGACACTGAGTGTGTGTGACTGACACTGAGTGTAAGTGAGAGAACCTGACATTGTGAGACTGAGTGTGAGTGACTGATACTGAGTGTGAGTGTCTGTCACTGAGTGTGAGTGAGAGAACCTGACACTGAGTGTGTGTGACTGACACTGAGTGTAAGTGAGAGAACCTGACATTGTGAGACTGAGTGTGAGTGACTGATACTGGGTGTGAGTGTCTGTCACTGAGTGTGAGTGAGAGAACCTGACATTGTGAGACTGAGTGTGAGTGACTGATACTGGGTGTGAGTGTCTGTCACTGAGTGTAAGTGAGAGAACCTGACATTGTGAGACTGAGTGTGAGTGACTGATACTGGGTGTGAGTGTCTGTCACTGACTGTGAGTGAGAGAACCTGACACTGTGAGACTGAGTGCCGACTGTCACTGAGTGTGAGACTGACTGCTTAGTGTCACTGGGTGCTGACTGGCTGTCACTGAGTGTGAGACTGAGTACTGACTGAGTGTTACCTGACTGTCACTGAGTGTGAGACTGACTGCTTAGTGTCACTGGGTGCTGACTGGCTGTCACTGAGTGTGAGACTGAGTACTCACTGAGTGTTACCTGACTGTCACTGAGTGTGAGTCTGAGTGCTGACTGTAACTGAGTGTGAGCCTTAGTGCCGACTGTCACTGAGTGTGAGCCTGAGTGCCGACTGTCACTGAGTGTGAGCCTGAGTGCCGACTGTCACTGAGTGTGAGACTGACTGCTTAGTGTCACTGGGTGCTGACTGGCTGTCACTGAGTGTGAGACTGAGTACTGACTGAGTGTTAGCTGACTGTCACTGAGTGTGAGTCTGAGTGCTGACTGTAACTGAGTGTGAGCCTTAGTGCCGACTGTCACTGAGTGTGAGCCTGAGTGCCGACTGTCACTGAGTGTGAGCCTGAGTGCCGACTGTCACTGAGTGTGAGACTGACTGCTTAGTGTCACTGGGTGCTGACTGGCTGTCACTGAGTGTGAGACTGAGTACTGACTGAGTGTTAGCTGACTGTCACTGAGTGTGAGTCTGAGTGCTGACTGTAACTGAGTGTGAGCCTTAGTGCCGACTGTCACTGAGTGTGAGCCTGAGTGCCGACTGTCACTGAGTGTGAGCCTGAGTGCCGACTGTCACTGAGTGTGAGACTGATTGCTTAGTGTTACTGGCAACCTCCTATTACCCATAACCTCTCTAAGTGACTCCATATAACCTCCCCTATAACTCCTCCTATTACTCCATATAACCTCTCTATGACTCCATATAACCCTCCCTATAACTCATCCTATTACTCCATATAACCCTCCCTATAACTCCTCAAATTACTCCATATAACCCTCCCTATAGCCCCTCCTATTACTCCATATAACCCTCCCTATAACTCCTCCTATTACTCCATATAACCCTCCATATAACCCCTCCTATTACTCCATATAACCCTCCCTATAACTCCCCCTATTACTCCATATAACCCTCCCTATAACTCATCCTATTACTCCATATAACCTTCCCTATAACTCCTCCTATTACTCCATATAACCCTCCCTATAACTCCTCAAATTACTCCATATAACCCTCCCTATAACTCCTCCTATTACTCCATATAACCCTCCATATAACTCCTCCTATTACTCCATATAACCCTCCCTATAACTCCTCCTATTACTCCATATAACCCTCCATATAACTCATCCTATTACTCCATATAACTCCTCCTATTACTCCCTATTACCCTCCCTATAACTCCTCCTATTACTCCATATAACCTCCCTATAACCCCTCCTATTACTCCATATAACCCTCCCTATAACCCCTCCTATTACTCCATATAACCTCCCTATAACCCCTCCTATTACTCCATATAACCCTCCATATAACTCCTCCTATTACTCCATATAACCCTCCCTATAACTCCTCCTATTACTCCATATAACCCTCCCTATAGCCCCTCCTATTACTCCATATAACTCTCCCTATAACTCTGCCTATTACTCCATATAACCCCTCCTATTACTCCATATAACCCTCCCTATAACTCCTACTATTACTCCATATATCCCTCCGTATAACTCCTCCTATCACTCCATATAACCCTCCCTATAACTCCTCCTATTACTCCATATAACCCTCTCTATAACCCCTCCTATTACTACATATAACCCTCCCTATAGCTCCTCCTATTACTCCATATAACCCTCCCTATAACTCCTCCTATTACTCCATATAACCTCTCCCTATAACCCCTCCTATTACTCCATATCACCCTCTCTATAACTCCTCCTTTTACTCTCTATAACCCTCCCTCTAACCCCTCTTATTGCTCCATGTAACCCTCCTCATAATGCCTTCTTACGCCATATAACTCCTTATAATACGATATATAACCATCTGTAATTCCTTCTATTACTCCATGTAACCCTTCCTATAACGCCTCCTATTTCTCAATACAACTCTGCCAATAACAACTCCTATCACTCCATATAACCTCCCCTAATAACTTATCCTATTAATCCATGCATCCCTGCCTATTACTCCATATAACACTCCCAACAACAACTATATCTCTCCATATAATCTCTCCTTATAACTCCATATAACATCTCCCTATATCTCCTCCTATTGTTCCATATAACTCCTCTTATTATTCTATATAACGCTCCCTATAACTCCCTCCCTATAATATTATATATTTATTTATTTATATATATATATATATATATATATATATATATAATATATATATAAACTTTCCTGAACTTTGTGTGCAGGTTTCATCCTTGGGACCTGGGCCTTTATCTTCTACAAGGTGTTTAAGTCTTCATTACAGAACCAGTATGGAGGGGTAAGTTCGGTGGAAGGTAATGAGTGGTTGTGTAATATAAGTAGGTGAGACTAAGCATCATAAGGGCATTAGTTAAGACAGACTATCATGCTGGGTAAGAGCTGTAGATAGGACAGCCAATCATTGTGGAGTAATGGCAGCAGATCGAAGTGAGTGACCATGATGATGGCCTAAGGGCAGTAGATGACACTGAATCATCACAATGGGTTAAGAACAGTAGATGAGACTGACCATTGTTATGAGGTATGGACAGTAGATGAGACTGACCATTGTTATGAGGTATGGGCAGTAGATGAGACTGACCTTTGTTATGAGGTATGGACAGTAGATGAGACTGACCTTTGATATGAGGTATGGACAGTAGATGAGACTGACCTTTGTTATGGGGTATGGACAGTAGATGGCAAAGATGGACTATCATGGCAGGAGATATCAGTGGCTCTCTGGGGTGTTGGGGTAGATAGCAGGTGGAAAACCTTCTTTTGTCCAACAGTGCTCTTCTTACCTCGTGTGACATGTAACCCCTTTTTTCGCTTCCTGCATCCTCTACCTCACTGCATGAAAGTAGACATTTTATTAATGCACATAACATATTAAAGAAGACATATATGTGGTCTTAACCACTAAGTATGTATATGTGGTCTTCACCGCTTGTGTCATCAGGTGTGTTCTCTACTGGCAATTCTTTGGTCTGCATCACTTGGTATAGATCTACCCTATCTCCTGTGTCCTTACTACCAATGATTCCTCAGCCTATATCACTGGGTCTGGATCTATCCTATTTCCAGTGTCCTCTCTGTTACTGATTTCTAGTCTATGTTGACAAATCTAGATCTAGCCTATCTCCTGTGTCAATGATTCTTTAGCCTATAGTACTGGGTCTGGATCTACCCTTCCTCCTGTGTCCTCACTACCAATGATTCCTTAACCTTTGTCACTTGGTCTGGATCTATCCTATCTCATGTTTCTTCACTACCAATGATTCCTTGACCTCTGCCACTGGGTCTGGATCTACCCTATCTCTTGTGTCTTCACTACCAATGATTCCTTAACCTATGCCACTGGGTCTGGATCTATCCTATCTCCTGTGTCTTCACTACTAATGATTCCTTAACCTATGCCACTGGGTCTGAATCTATCCCATCTCCTGTGTCCTGTCTACCAGTGATTCCTCAGCCTAAATGACTAGGTCTGGATCTATCCTATGTCCAGTTTCCTCTCTAAGGATTTCTGAGCCTATATCACTGGGTCTGGATCTACCCTATCTCCTGTGTCCTCTCTACCGATGATTCCTCAGCCTATATCACTGGATCTGGATCTACCCTATCTCCTGTGTCTTCAATACCAATGGTTCCTTAACCTTTGCAACTGGGTCTGGATCTACCCTATCTCCTGTGTCCTCTCTACCGATGATTCCTCAGCCTATATCACTCGGTCTGGATCTACCCTAACTGCTGTGTCTTCAATACCAATGGTTCCTTAACCTTTGCAACTGGGTCTGGATCTACCCTATCTCCTGTGTCCTGTCTACCGGTGATTCCTCAGCTGGGGTCTTGGTCTATCCTATATCCTGTGTCCTCTTTGATCCTGAAATAGATCTTTATCCTAGACCAGTGATTCCTGCTTAATTCTCAATAAATTTCCTCCTCAATATCCATTGAGTTTCTCTTCTTTGTGAGAATGTTTGTTTGAGCAGGGCCCTCACCATCTCTTGTTCCTATAAGTCCACGTTGTCATGCTGAATTTACTGATATAAACTTTTCCATCCACTGTACAGAGCTGTGGAATATGTTGGTGTTTTAATAAGAATAGCCCTCTTCCCATTTCTCCATCTTCTTTCCCTTCTTTTGCAGAGTAATCTGCCTGTGTGTGCATGACCCCATTTCGCGGTCCCTTCCCATGGTGAATAACATGAGTATCACACGGTGAAATGCTATATTTCTGCCCCTGACACGTTATTTTCTTTGCATGTGTCTCTCTAATCCCCCCACCCTTTCCTAGCACCATTTCCCAGACCCCCCTCCCTGCTTCCCAAAGCTAAACCTCTCCCCCTCCCTTTCTGCTCCTTCCCTCCCTTCCATGAACGCTCTCTCATCAGTGCATGCCCTTCTGTACCCCTTCGCTGTTACCAAAACTCAAAACAGTGACCCATTGGGCTTGCAGTGACTGTACAACAATACACCATGCAGCCCAGCATGGTAGCAGAGTCCATGGAATGTGTACATCCAACATGCCTTCTTGTTCTCCTCCTTTGTGCACATGTGTGTGTGTGTGTGTATATGTGGACGTATGTGTGTGTGTGTGTGTGTGTGTGTATATATATATATATATATATATATATGTGTGTGTGTGTGATTCTCCCGCTCTCTATACATTGCCCCTTCCTCCACTCAGTCGCCCTCCTTTATTCTCCCCTTTTCTCTTATTCTCTTCCCCTCCCTTGTAGCCCCCCTCCTCCTCCCCCCCTCTCATTCTCTTCATTCCCCCATGCTCCCTCCTCTTTATTTCCCCTCCCCCCCTCCCTCCGCCTGTCTCCCTCCCCTCATGCAGCTTAGAGAGACAGACGCATGAGAGAGAGAGCGAGGCAGGGAGGAGAGAGGGAAGAGACAGACAGCCCCTGGGAGAGTGCAGGGGTCACTGTGGGAAATAGACAGTTCGAAATTAGGGAAACAATACAGAGACTGATATCTTTAGGGCTAATTGAGGGAAAATAATTAAAGAGACAGCAGCAGAGAGAAAGAGAGAGTCAGACAGAAAATAGAAATAGCTGAGAGACATACAGGCATAATAAATAGAGAGACAATCAGTTTATAGAGACTGCAGTGTGAAAGAGAGGTGCAAGTGACGGTCTGAAAGGCGCTGGCACTCTCAGGGAGGCTGAGTGACATCCAAAGCTAATCTGCACATTTAGACTGCTTTCTGCTGTTAGTGAGAGACCTCAATCAGGAAGTGACACTCTGTAAGGTAAGTGCACTCTCTGACAATGGGCACAACAGCTAACCTGCAGATCTGGAGAGACTGCCTTCATTTTTTTAGTAGGAGATATGAAACAGGAAGTGGAATCATAGGTCAAAGGTTACGTGGTAGGTGACACAGAATACAAGGTGAGACTGTCTTTTTTCTTTTTGTGGTCAGACAGGTGTGGCCTGCCGAATCATCATCTATGGCTTCCAGTCCAGCCCCATTGCCACTGCTCCCATCGCTGAGCTGCGCTTTATGTCGTGATGTGCCACGGGAACCGGTGACACTGGCATGTGGGCATTGCCTGTGTCGTGGATGCCTGGAGCGAGCGTGGAGGGGCCAAGAGAATTACCCCGCCTGCCCCAAGTGTCGTCCCCCCCAAGTGCCGACACCAGATGGGGTACAGAGGGGTGTGTGTACAGAACATGGGGACAAGTTACAGCTCTTCTCTCCACAGGATGGCAGGATGCTGTGTGCACGGTGCCGAGGGGCAGGAGAACAGCACCCGGTACATAATCTGATCCCTATACAGGAGGCTGTGGGAGGCTACAAGGTGAGAATGCAACTGTATATACAAAACATGCACAACAGACAGCCTGGGCTGTGGTTCTAGGGTAAATGGAGGCCAGGACAGTGATCGTAAAGCAGGTGGTAGTCCTAGTTATTAGTCCTAAGGGCTACAGTATTAAAGCAGGTGGAGACCAGGACTGTGGTCCTAAAGAAGGTGATGGCCTAGTCTAAGGTAGATTTATACTAGGGCAGCGGCTATAGGCTAAAACAAGGCAGGATAGACTAGTTTGTAAGGAGCTAGTGTGTGTGTAAAATATAAGGAATATGTACACTTTTGCATCCAATAAAATTTTCACAGAAATATAAATCTGTGGACAGATAAAATGCAGCGGTTCAAATGGCTGCTAATGTTGTGTCTGTTATCGTTAACTAAGACACATGGTCACATAAAATGCACACAGAACTGCATTAGCAGGTGGCATTTATATTGGTATAGAGACATCTCAAACAGAGGTGCATGTATATAATTTGTAAAGGTATACGACAAATAATAAAGTGGCACTTATGTATTATGTACAGGTAGACTGTAAAGTGGCACATATTTAGAAATATATCACAGAGTGTGGCACGCATATAATACGGGCAGTTATAAGTTAACTTTTTTGGTGCCCTAGGCCGCAGCACATACGTTTATATTTTGCCATTCATCTAGAAACACTATTATTCTTACATGCATAGACACACACACAGTCACAAACCTACATAGACACCCACATGGGCATATACACAGTCAAATACATACTTACCTGTACATACAGATGCAATCTGACACACAGACACATGCTTACATAGGAATACAGTCCCATACAAGAAATCACATTGTCTATTGTCACATTGCATGCATACATACATATATGGACATACAGTCACACACATGGACATGCAGTCACACGCAATCACATACATGATGGACATGCAGTCACACACAGCCATACACATGAACATGCAGTCACATACATATACATGATGGACATGCAGTCACACACAGCCGCATGCAGTCACACACAGCCGCATACATGATGGGCATGCAGTCACACACAGCCGCATACATGATGGGCATGCAGTCACACACAGCCGCATACATGATGGACATGCAGTTACACACAGCCGCATACATGATGGGCATGCAGTCACACACAGCCGCATACATGATGGGCATGCAGTTACACACAGCCGCATACATGATGGACATGCAGTCACACACAGCCATGATGGGCATGCAGTCACACACAGCCACATACATGGACATGCAGTCACACACAGCCATGATGGGCATGCAGTCACACACAGCCACATACATGGACATGCAGTCATATACATATAGTCACACACAGTAGAATACATACATAGGCACGTAATTACATACATAGACAATGTCAGAGTTTGGTACATATAACAGGTGTTATAATACAAAGTTTGTAAAAGTTAGGAACTTATACATGATGTATAGGTAGACAATCATGATATATAACTACCTTTAAAGTCCCTACTGAGAGGTGATTACATTTAATGCAGTGAGTCCATTGTCCCTCTGTTCCTCCTGTAGGATGAGCTGATCTCTGCCATTGCCCCTCTGGAGTCCCGCCTGAAGGAGCTACAACAGATGCAGTGCGCACAAGAACAGATGATCGCTCAGCACAGGGTATGTCACAGAACCTCTAAGATTAATTACAGCTAACGAATGTGAGGTCTCTTTGTATGTGTTTGATGAGGCCTCAGGGATACAAGAAATATAATCCAGACTGCCGGTATCAGTCACAGCCTCCTGATGCAGGCTGCCGGCATCCGTCACAGCCTCCCGATGCAGGCTGCCGGCATCCGTCACAGCCTCCCGATGCAGGCTGCCGGCATCCGTCACAGCCTCCCGATGCAGGCTGCCGGCATCCGTCACAGCCTCCCGATGCAGGCTGCCGGCATCCGTCACAGCCTCCCGATGCAGGCTGCCGGCATCCGTCACAGCCTCCCGGCAGCATCCACAGTCTCCCGATCCAGGCTGCTGGCAGCAGCTACAGCCTCCCGATTTACAACCTAAATTTAATCCTGTATTCCCTCCAGCTATAAAATAATGTGTAATTCTTCCACTTTCAGGGCAACCTTCTGAGTACCAAGCACCAAGTGAGCATGGAGTTTGAAAAACTGCATCAGTACCTGCGAGAGCGAGAGGAGCGACTACTGCGAGAACTTCAACAGGAAGGAGACCTGATCCTCTCTGAAATGGAAGAGAGTCTGAACAAGATCAAACAGAACTGTCAGGGAATCCTACAAACCATCAGCACCACCCAGCCACGTCTCTACGAGCAGGACCCCATCTCCTTCCTGACTGTAAGTACACCCAAATATAATAAAACCCAGCCATGGCTCTACGAGCAGGACTCCATCTTCTTAGCTGTAAGTACACCCAAATATAATAAAATCCATCCACGGCTCTACGAGCAGGACTCCATCTCCTTCCTCACTGTAAGTACCTCCTATAGAATAAATCCCAGCCACGGCCCTACGAGCTGGACCCCATCTCCTTCCTCACTGTAAGTACCCCCATAGAAAAAAACCCAGCCACGGCTCTACGAGCTGGACCCCATCTCCCTCCTCACTGTAAGTACCCACCATAGAATAAATCCCAACCATAGTTTCTACGAGCCAGACCCTATCTCCTTCCTCACTGTAAGTACCTCCTATAGAATAAATCCCAGCCATGGCTCTGCGAGCAGGACCCCATCTCCTTCCTCACTGTAAGTACCTCCTATAGAATAAATCCCAGCCATGGCTCTGCGAGCAGGACCCCATCTCCTTCCTCACTGTAAGTACCTCCTATAGAATAAATCCCAGCCATGGCTCTGCGAGCAGGACCCCATCTCCTTCCTCACTGTAAGTACCTCCTATAGAATAAATCCCAGCCATGGCTCTGCGAGCAGGACCCCATCTCCTTCCTCACTGTAAGTACCTCCTATAGAATAAATCCCAGCCATGGCTCTGCGAGCAGGACCCCATCTCCTTCCTCACTGTAAGTACCTCCTATAGAATAAATCCCAGCCATGGCTCTGCGAGCAGGACCCCATCTCCTTCCTGACTGTAAGTACCTCCTAATGAATAAATCCCAGTCACGCCTCTACGAGCAGGACCCCATCTCCTTCCTCACTGTAAGTACCCCCATAGAATAAATCCCAGCCATGGTTTCTACAAGCCGGACCCCATCTCCTTCCTCACTGTAAGGACCCCCATAGAATAAATCCCAGCCCCGGCTCTACGATCAGGACCCCATCTCCTTCCTCACTGTAAGTACCCCCATAGAATAAATCCCAGCCACGGCTCTACGAGCAGGACCCTATCTCCTTCCTCACTGTAAGTACCCCCATAGAATAAATCCCAGCCATGGCTCTACGAGCAGGACCCCATTTCCTTCCTCACTGTAAGTACCCCCATAGAATAAATCCCAGCCACGGCTCTACGAGCAGGACCCTATCTTCTTCCTCACTGTAAGTACCCCCATAGACTAAATCACAGCCACGGCTCTACGAGCAGGACCCCATCTCCTTCCTCACTGTAAGTACCCACCATAGAATAAATCCCAGCCATAGTTTCTACGAGCAGGACCCCATCTCCTTCGTCACTGTAAGTACCTCCTATAGAATAAATCCCAGTCACGCCTCTACGAGCAGGACCACATCTCCTTCCTCACTCTAAGTACCTCCTATAGAATAAATCCCAGCCATGGCTCTGCGAGCAGGACCCCATCTCCTTCCTCACTGTAAGTACCTCCTATAGAATAAATCCCAGTCACGCCTCTACGAGCAGGACCACATCTCCTTCCTCACTCTAAGTACCTCCTATAGAATAAATCCCAGCCACGGCTCTACGATCAGGATCCCATCTCCTTCCTCACTGTAAGTACCCCCACAGAATAAAACCCAGCCACGGCTCTACGATCAGGACCCCATCTCCTTCCTCACTGTAAGTACCCCCATAGAATAAAACCCAGCCACGGCTCTACGATCAGGACCCCATCTCCTTCCTCACTGTAAGTACCCCCACAGAATAAAACCCAGCCACGGCTCTACGATCAGGATCCCATCTCCTTCCTCGCTGTAAGTACCCACCACAGAATAAATCCCAGCCATAGTTTCTACGAGCCGAACCCCATCTCCTTCCTCACTGTAAGTACCCCCATAGAATAAATCCCAGCCATGGCTCTATGAGCCGGACCCCACCTCCTTCCTGACTGTAAGTACCTCCTATAGAATAAATCCCAGCCATAGTTTCTACAAGCAGGACCACATCGCCTTCCTGACTGTAAGTAACCCCATAGAATAAATCCCAGCCATGGCTCTACGAGCCAGACCCATCTCCTTCCTGACTGTAAGTACCCCCATAGAATAAATCCCAGCCATGGCTCTACGAGCCAGACCCCATCTCCTTCCTGACTGTAAGTACCTCCATAGAATAAATCCCAGCCATTGCTCTGCGAGCCGGACCCCATCTCCTTCCTCACTGTAAGTACACCCAAATATAATAAATCCCAGCCACGGCTCTACGAGCAGATTGGAAGTACATCCTTTTAAATAACCTCTAGTCTGTGACCCTATGTTTTATTCTTCATTATATTCTCATTCTGTTTTCCTTCCATTTTGCACTATGGAGCATTTTAATGTATTGTTATCAGAAATGGTTAATAGTGCAGATAACTTGATGTAAAATATTAAGATAATATAAATAAAAGTAAATGTCACTGTGTATAACTGGAATGTATGTTTTCTATCCCGTCACTGCTGTCAGATAAGTTATAACTAACCTGTAATTTTACCAACAGCTCCCATTGTGTGTGTTTAATATCACAAACCGTTTTACTTGTATTATTAAAAACTCTCTGTGACAACTTATTGATCTGTCTCTCTCGCCCTTTTCCAGGATATAAAGTCTTGTATGGAAATGTAAGTATCTGTGTATTTTATCCGGTTATGAGCTGTTAATAACACGTGAAACCCGCTATTGCTTTCATGCCAGCCATCTTGCTGCTGTCAGCCATTTTATCTTAGCACCGTTCAAGTCATAGATAAACCGAGAAAACCGGTTTAGAACGTTACCAATTGCATTAATTGATCTGTCTCTTGTCACAGCTGCTACAATGGCTATAGAGATGGCTTTCCTTCGCAAAATGTGGTTGCACCTAGAGATTTTGGATATGGCGGTGTGAAGGATTTGATTCAATATACAGCCTGGAAAGATATGAAGTCTTATATCAGCCCAGGTGAGAAGGGTAACAGTCTACTAATGAAAAAATAACTACATGGGTGGGAGTTTGTGGTCTGTGCCTCCATCATGTACAGACCAATCTTACTGTGAGACAATGAACAGGAGAAGGACATCATAGATTGCAGGAGGCAAAGCGCAAGGAACACATGGGAGAAAAGTAAGGACAGGGGATAGGGGCTGGTGACGAAGGAGTGGACACAGGTTACGAGTTGGTGATGAATAAAGAAATAAGCAGGAGCACAGTCTGGGAATCCGTGGAGAGATATTAAGTAACATTAACAGAAGACAAGGGGAATGTGTTTAGAAAAGAGGGCTTGCGTATTGGCTCTAATGGGAAGAGGTAATGTGATAATGCTAGAAAGAAATAGAATAAAAAGACTGCACAGAGAGAAGAGGTAAGGTTAGGCTAGATAGGAAGATAATTCATTCTGAATATAAAGAAAATTGAAGCAGAAAGTGGAGAAAACTACATTTGGGGGGGGGGGGAAGCTATTGGGTGGGAGTTAGGGAAAAAAGATTAGAATCAATGAAAAATGTGGGGGAAAATAAGACTGGGAGACATGAATTAGTGGCTGTATGGCAGACAATTTTAACAAAATGAATCTGGTGCAAAGGGAAGTGTGGTGTGTGAATCTAAATACACCTTTACAACCTTCTTTCAGCTTTGCCTAATATAATTATGGACCCCAGCACGGCTCACCTTAACTTGATCCTCTCTGAAGATTTAACCTGTGTCCGATACAGTGACACTAAGCAGTCTCTACCTGAGAACCCTCGCCGGTTTGACTACTGTTGCTGCGTCCTGGGTACCGAGGGGTTCACCTCTGGTCGGCACTACTGGGCTATTGAAGTTGGGAGCAAGACCAAATGGAATCTTGGCTTGGCCAAGGAATCGGTAAACAGGCGTGGGGGCATCACCTTGTCTCCTGAGAATGGTTTTTGGATCCTCTGGCTGCGGAACGGACATGAGTTCAAGGCATTGGATGTCCCTTACCGGTCTCTCACTTTGAGGAGTAAACCACAGAGGGTTGGGATATACTTAGATTATGAAGGGGGTGTTCTTTCCTTTTACAATGCTGATGATATGTCCCACATCTATACCTTTGTCACTTCCTTCACTGAAACGGTGTACCCCTATTTCTGTCCGTGCCTCAACGATTCTGGAAAGAATGGGGGTGCCTTGAAAGTCCTCCATCATACTCCATAATGAATAAAGGGGGGAGGAAAGAAGGTAAATGGCTTCATCCCACCTAAAATCCTGTATCACGGATATTGTATGTCTTTCGAGATGTTTTTTTTGAAGGCTATTTGGAGGCAGTATTTCTAGTGTGTGATGTTATATTTCCCACTAAATAGTGATATTTTTTTTTTTTTAAGATCAGATAACCAAAACTTTTGCAAAATGTAGGCCAAAATCACAGGTGGTAAACTTCTGTAACTCACCCAATTGTTACCGCTCAGCTTCCTAGGCCTATATTTTGGTTGTCAACTCACTGTTTAATTAAAAAGCCCCATGTAAGACGTGTATCCCCTTATCTGAAGACAATAAGAGTTTTTGTTTTTAATAACCTCTCCCAGCTCTCTTGTCCTCTTCCTGCTGAGGATACCTTTGGTCATCGTGGCAGTGAGGTCCTTTCATTTAACACCTAGACAGCATGTATCCTGATGGGACGGGAGTCATTCCATTTATCTGCTCATTCAGATCTCAATAAACACATAACTGGATTAAACAAAAACTGTCTTGCTGGAGAAAATCATTCTCTCTCTCTGGTAATTCCCTGCAGCGCATGTTCTCTCGTTATGCAAAACATCTAACATGGCATAATATTTGCACTATTTTCAGTTATAACTCGCAGTGGGTAATGATGAAACACAGCTCGTTCTATATGGAGAGGGCAGCCAGCAATAGTGCCAGCCGCAGAATATGCATTATAAGCAGGTCAGTCTTTGGTATTGCCAAAAGAGCAATTTGCTGATTTCCATGTAAGAGAACAATTGCACCAACCTGTCAAAGTACATGAAATGAATCAGAGCAATTTGCTGACCATTGGACATTGTCCCCCCCAGCTCAGGAGACTCTACATTATCAAGCAGAATACTCATAATTTTAAAGTTTCTCTGCTCAAGTCAACAAAGCCTCGCCTACTTGTGTTAGTAGGGGTTTGAGCTCCGATTGAAAGTGGCCCTTTGTATATGATTGGGACAACCTCTGTTTGTTTAACAGCTCTTGTAGGTTACAGTTTTGCCATCCACGTGTGATGTGGCTCCTCAAGAGCTCGAGAACATTGGTTCTGAGTGAGACAATCTGTGGTTTTGCAACAGAAAAGCAATTTATTGATTTTCATTAACAGTAGATTCTTGTACATTGTAACCCCACCCTCATTAATTTGTGTATGTAACAAAACTTAGAATGTAAAGGTGCAGGAAACCATTACAAATCATCACAATCTTAGCATAGTGGTGCTCCATGCATGTTGACTCTACGAGAATTTCAGAGTCCTAGTTTTTACCCTGAAGTCTCCTCATCTTCATCTGGCTGCTCCTGAGGATTAGGGGTAAGCCATTATCATTGCTCCAGGAGAAACCAACAAATGGTTGGGTTCCTGCGCTATCATCAGACATATAGCGAGCGTTGAGTGGGGTATTAGCGCAGCCCAATGACTCATACCAAAACCCTCCTCCATAGTACTCTGCGCAGTTTTGAATATGCTCTTCTTCGTCCTTGTCATACGTGGAAAACATCTGCCCAACGTGAGCACTCAGTATGTCACCTGCAATTGAGAACATGTGTCAGAATGCTCTGTGCCCCATAGCAGTCTAGAACGTGTGGGCCAGACTGCAATATAAAAATAAAATGAATCAAAGGAACTTGTATATGCAATACAAACAATAATAAATTAAGGTTGGATAATTAACTCCTAATTCATTGATTTCAAAGGGACACTCTAAGCACCAGAACTACTACAGCTTAATGTGGTGGTTATGGTGAAAAGAGCCTGTCTCTGCAAACCGTGCATTTACATTGCTTCCTATGACCACCTCTAGCTGTCATTCAATCCATTAATAACTCACACAGCCATCAGTATTTATTTTTCTATTTCTTGGGCTGGGGGGAGCATAATCTAAATAGACCGTGTAACACTGACATTAAGAAAGCTTGTTTGTTATCCCAATGTTTGAGAGTTCTTTTAAGAACAAAAAACACTGCTGTGGGAACTCACTCTAATTTCTTTCTTGTCATGTGACACCATATGGAATTACTCTCACCTGGAGAAAACCTTTTTAATTATTTTTTTTTTGCAAAAGATATATTGGTGGTCCCTCTAACACTGTATAAGTGCTGTTTTGGGGTTTAATAACTAAATGCCTAATTGTAGTGAACTGGAAACCATTAGGCAAAAATCAACTAATTTAAAAAAATCTCCAAAATATATATACACATTGTATTTATTCTATTTCACTGTAACTCTGTTCCTTTGTGTATATAAGTTACTACTACAGAGAGCACGGTAAGATGACACCCGTGGTGCAAATAATTGGCTTCATTTACAGTTAGATACTGTCTCCAAATTAGTTGAATGGAAATGTGGTTACTTTAGCTGATCGTTTGCAAATCAGTTGCCACCACTTCTTGAAATGTGCTGTAAAATAGCTTAACAGTGTGTCTGTTTGACATGTAAGAGATGGTATGGAGTTTACTATTCATTCAGTAAGCATTAAAAGCCTGTGTGTTGAGTAATGCTCTTAGTATTAGCCTATACTTGGCTGTCACCATGTTGTCGCAAGTATTACACAAGTTGTCATGGGGAATGTGTTTTAGGGGAAGCCTAGCGTCCGTAACATGTCTATGGCAAGGTCATTTCCTATTTACCTGCTCCTCCGTCTATGAAACCATCGACATGTAGCTTGTATCCATCGCTCTCTGCATTCAGGGCATGGGGCGAGAGGCTGAAATTTTGATACTGAGCGTATACTCTCAATCCATTCATGTTCTCCATCTCCAACATTAGCTCATACCGCCCTTGCATCGTCAGCCGGTAAATATTCTGCAAACCTGTACTGATGGTAATGCACAGCCTCTATTAGAGTAATACTCAGAATAATACACTGCCATCATTGGAGTAATACCCAGAATAATACACAGCCATCATTGGAATAATTCACAGCCTCTATTAGAGTAATACTCAGAATAATACACTGCCATCATAGGAGTGATACCCAGAATAATACACTGCCATCACTGGAGTAATACACAGCCTCTATTAGAGTAATACCCAGAATAATACACTGCCATCATTGGAGTAATACACAGCCTATATTAGAGTAATACACTGCCATCATTGGAGTAATACTCAGAATAATACACTGCCATCATTAGAGTAATACTCAGAATAATACACTGCCATCATTGGAGTAATACCCAGAATAATACACAGCCTATATTAGAGCAATACTCAGAATAATACACTGCCATCATTGGAGTAACACACAGCCTATATTGGAGTAATACACAGCCTCTATTAGAGTAATACTCAGAATAATACACTGCCATCATTGGAGTAATACCCAGAATAATACACAGCCATCATTGGAATAATTCACAGCCTCTATTAGAGTAATACTCAGAATAATACACTGCCATCATAGGAGTGATACCCAGAATAATACACTGCCATCACTGGAGTAATACACAGCCTCTATTAGAGTAATACCCAGAATAATACACTGCCATCATTGGAGTAATACACAGCCTATATTAGAGTAATACACTGCCATCATTGGAGTAATACTCAGAATAATACACTGCCATCATTAGAGTAATACTCAGAATAATACACTGCCATCATTGGAGTAATACCCAGAATAATACACAGCCTATATTAGAGCAATACTCAGAATAATACACTGCCATCATTGGAGTAACACACAGCCTATATTGGAGTAATACACAGCCTCTATTAGAGTAATACTCAGAATAATACACTGCCATCATTGGAGTAATACCCAGAATAATACACAGCCATCATTGGAATAATTCACAGCCTCTATTAGAGTAATACTCAGAATAATACACTGCCATCATAGGAGTGATACCCAGAATAATATACTGCCATCACTGGAGTAATACACAGCCTCTATTAGAGTAATACCCAGAATAATACACTGCCATCATTGGAGTAATACACAGCCTATATTAGAGTAATACACTGCCATCATTGGAGTAATACTCAGAATAATACACTGCCATCATTAGAGTAATACTCAGAATAATACACTGCCATCATTGGAGTAATACCCAGAATAATACACAGCCTATATTAGAGCAATACTCAGAATAATACACTGCCATCATTGGAGTAACACACAGCCTATATTGGAGTAATACACAGCCTCTATTAGAGTAATACTCAGAATAATACACTGCCATCATTGGAGTAATACCCAGAATAATACACTGCCATTACTGGAGTAATAGACAGAATAATACACTGCCTATATTAGAGTAATATTCCGAATAATGCACTGCCATCATTGGAGTAACACCCAGAATAATACACTGCCTATATTAGAGTAATATTTAGAATAATACACTGCCATCATTGGAGTAATACCCAGAATAATACACTGCCTAGATTAGAGTAATACACAGAATAATACACTGCCATCATTGGAGTAATACCCAGAATAATACACTGCCTATATTAGAGTAATATTCAGAATAATACACTGCCATCATTGGAGTAATACCCAGAATAATGCATTGTCATCATTGGAGTAATACACAGCCTCTATTAGAGTAATACCCAGAATAATACACTGCCATCATTGGAGTAATACCCAGAATAATACACAACCTATATTAGAGCAATACTCAAAATAATACACTGCCATCATTGGAGTAATACACAGCCTCTATTAGAGATATACCCAGAATAATACACTGCCTATATTAGAGCAATACCCAGAATAATACACTGCCATCATTGGAGTAATACCCAGAATAATACACAGCCTATATTAGAGCAATACCCAGAATAATACACTGCCATCATTCGAGTAATACCCAAAATAATACACTGCCTATATTAGAAAAATGCTCAGAATAATACACTGCCATCATAGGAGTAATACCCAGAATAATACACTGCCATTATTGGAGTAATATACAGCCTATATTGGAGTAATACACAGCCTCTAATTGAGTAATACTCAGAATAATACACTGCCATCATTGGAGTAATACCCAGAATAATACACTGCCATCATTGGAGTAATACCCAGAATAATACATTGTCATCATTGGAGTAATACACAGCCTCTATTAGAGTAATACCCAGAATAATACACTGCCATCATTGGAGTAATACCCAGAATAATACACAACCTATATTAGAGCAATACTCAAAATAATACACTGCCATCATTGGAGTAATACACAGCCTCTATTAGAGATATACCCAGAATAATACACTGCCTATATTAGAGCAATACCCAGAATAATACACTGCCATCATTGGAGTAATACCCAGAATAATACACAGCCTATATTAGAGCAATACCCAGAATAATACACTGCCATCATTCGAGTAATACCCAAAATAATACACTGCCTATATTAGAAAAATGCTCAGAATAATACACTGCCATCATAGGAGTAATACCCAGAATAATACACTGCCATTATTGGAGTAATATACAGCCTATATTGGAGTAATACACAGCCTCTAATTGAGTAATACTCAGAATAATACACTGCCATCATTGGAGTAATACCCAGAATAATACACTGCCATCATTGGAGTAATACCCAGAATAATACATTGTCATCATTGGAGTAATACACAGCCTCTATTAGAGTAATACCCAGAATAATACACTGCCATCATTGGAGTAATACCCAGAATAATACACAACCTATATTAGAGCAATACTCAAAATAATACACTGCCATCATTGGAGTAATACACAGCCTCTATTAGAGTAATACCCAGAATAATACACTGCCTATATTAGAGCAATACCCAGAATAATACACTGCCATCATTGGAGTAATACCCAGAACAATACACTGCCTATATTAGAGTAATATTCAGAATAATACACTGCCATCATTGGAGTAATACCCAAAATAATACAATGCCACCATTGGAGTAATACACAGCCTATATTAGAGTAATATTCAGAATAATACACTGCCATCATTGGAGTAATACCCAGAATAATACATTGCCATCATTGAAGTAACACCCAGAATAATACACTGCCTATATTAGAGTAATATTCAGAATAATACACTGCCATCGTTGGAGTAATAGTCAGAATAATACACTGCCATCATTGGAGTAATACCCAGAATAATACACTGCCTATAATAGAGTAATATTCAGAAATATACACTGCCATCATTGGAGTAATACCCAGACTAATACACTGCCATCATTGGAGTAATACCCAAAATAATACATTGCCATCATTGGAGTAATACCCAGAATAATACACTGCCATCATTGGAGTAATGCTCAGAATAATACACTGCCATCATTTGAGTAACACCCAGAATAATACACTGCCTATATTAGAGTAATATTCAGAATAATACACTGCCATCATTGGAGTAATACCCAGAATAATACACTGCCATCATTGGAGTAATACACAGCCTCTATTAGAGTAATACTCAGAATAATACACTGCCATCATTGGAGTAATTCCCAGAATAATACACTGCCATCATTGGAGTAATACACAGCCTCTATTAGAGTAATACTCAGAATAATACACTGCCATCATTGGAGTAACACCCAGAATAATACAGTGCCATCATTGGGGTAATACACAGCCTCTATTAGAGTAATACTCAGAATAATACACTGCCATCATAGGAGTAATACCCAGAATAATACACTGCCATCATTGGGGTAATACCCAGAATAATACACTGCCATAATTGGAGTAATACCCCAATAATACACTGCCATCATTGGTATAATACTCAGAATAATACACAGCCATCATTGGAGTAATACCCAGAATAATACACTGCCATCATTGGAGTAATACCCAGAATAATACACTGCCATAATTGGAGTAATACCCTGAATAATACACTGCCATCATTGGTATAATACTCACAATAATACACATCCATCATTGGAGTAACACCCAGAATAATACAGTGCCATCATTGGGGTAATACACAGCCTCTATTAGAGTAATACTCAGAATAATACACTGCCATCATTGGAGTAATACCCAGAATAATACACTGCCATAATTGGAGTAATACCCCGAATAATACACTGCCATCATTGGTATAATACTCAGAATAATACACAGCCATCATTGGAGTAATGCAAAAACAAGGGGTGGAATAGCGCTAAGTCAGAGGAAGGGGAGGCAGCACACCTAAATGGGTAAGTCTCTCCTAAAAACCCAATAAGGACAAATAACAATACAAAACAATAGTGCGCCAGGGGGTTAGGGATAAATCAGTACTCAACAAGACAACTGAAGTGAAACAGATAATACGTGGTCAGTAAAATGATATAAAATCATATATGCATAAAAACGGACAAGCCAAAAAAGTCCAAAATGAGGTATAAACGTATAGATAAGCCTATAAGAGTTTGCCTTTATCTCCAGGTAAATATGTCTTCCAGATAGTTGAAGTCCAGGTACATAAAAAAGAAGAAAAGAGTTCCAATAGTTAGTGCTATATGTTTAAAATATATTAAAAGCTTAGGTAAAAGGAAATCCAAACTGGCCTACTCACATGTGATAGAGCGTAAAACCAGCTCTAGTGTGAAGCGCTTGCAGTGGTATTATTCCCCCACTTCAGTGATATGATGGAAGATATAGGCCAGTACGCATCTTGTGGGCAGGATATGTAAAAATACAAACAAAGGTACAATGTATAGTGCTCTCTGTATAAAATATATATAGCCAGGAGAAGAAATAAATGGATAATACTCACATTTACCTGAGCAGATAACCTGCTCAGTGTAATCAGCGTAGGTGGTATAATCCCCACCAGGGATACTTTGTGAAGTCATCGCTGGGAAGAAAAAAACTTGATGCCAGGTAATAAATAATAATAATAAAAAAAAAAGAAGAAATGTTATATGGTACTGTGGCAGAACAGACCTCGCCACGTGTTCTTGCCCGCCTCCTATGGCCCTGGGATATATGGCATTTGAAAACACTATTTGTGCCCTGTGACAAAACTGGAGATTGTGCACAAATATGACTGTTGTCCATATTTTTTATGATTCTCTTTGTTTGTTGCACTGTTCCCCATGTGTTTCATCTGTTGGTCCGGCTGGATAGACTACCAGACAAACTGTGGAGTTACTGGGTGGCCACCATTTCATGTATCAGAGGCACATGGTGAGAACAATGGATTAAGCACATGGTGAGAACAATGGATGGCGGCCATTTTAACTCACAGACACTGTTTGGACTTTTCTACACGGTGCCATCTCGCCGGTATTTAATTGCACAAAGACATTGTGCAGTAGTTTTAAACTATACAACACATTACACAGTAATTATTTTTCATATAGCGTGTATATGTTCTGCGGAATCTGCATTAAACTTTATCTTCCAAACTACTGAACGGATCTGGGTGAATTTTGGATATGTGGTTCACCCAGATTCCCCGGTTCCGAGGATATACTTTTATGGGGTTATTGCATGTTTTGGGATTCCTGTGATATGTTTTATAATACTGTATTTCTCTGCCTGTGATAATTATATTAACCATTGTGTTCAGTAATCAAATCACAGGCAGAGGGGAGGATTTTGTGTGGGAGTGTCTGTGTGTATTGTACGGATTGATTAGTTGTATTTCAAAACCCTGTGGGCGGTGCTATGTTTGTGGATTGTGAATAAAAGAGGCTGTATGTGCCAGTACAGGCAGCTCTGCTTGACCTCAAAACTAAGTGTTGTCTCGTTATTGGGGGAATTTGATTGTATGCTGATTGCCAGGAGTGTAAGCTGATTGTATGCTTTTCCTGTTCGGCTGTTTACAGCATTCATATGCTTGAGAGCATTCATATGCTTCTCCAGTTTGGTGGTTGTGGTGTCTGCTGCAGTGCTTGGAGTTCTCAGGGAGCGCTACGAGCATCCTTCAATGGAGGTACCCAGTCGGGGTGCCAGGTGATCCGTTACAGGTACTAATATTGGTAGTAAATGATACCAAAACCTTTAATAAGACATTAGTAATGATAAAATAAGTCCACAACACGTTCCACCCACAATGGGCTTTTTCAAGTGATAATCAAGCACATACCTGGCAAGTACAATCTTATATAGGGTAAAATACATACAAAATTTGAATTTGGTGGTAAAATGATGTCATGGTCATGTGGTCGCGACCATGATATTACATATGTACAGTAAAAAATAGTAAAATTACATAACATGTTAAAATATGCATTAAGCTTTGTTCATAGTGACTATTATAATAAGAAAACAAAAATGTAAAACCTTAAAAAATGGTAACGATCGAAAATGGGCGTTACCGAAGGAGTGACGTCACTTATGGGCGTCTAATAGATGGGAAACTTGGGAAGTGTAGTGATAAGGGACAGAGTGTGGGACGCTTCTTGCGTCATAGCCTGCTATAAACGGACGTGAGGGTGATAGGAAGGGGAAGATAATATATTAAGATATTTTTATGCCAAAATATAATGCCAAAACTAACATAGAAACATAGAATGTGACAGTAGATAAGAACCATTCGGGCCATCTAGTCTGCCCAATTTTCTAAATACTTTCATTAGTCCCTGGCCTTATCTTATAGTTAGGATACCCTTATGCCTATCCCACGCATGCTTAAACTCCTTTACTGTGTTAACCTCTACCACTTCAGCTGGAAGGCTATTCCATGCATCCACTACCCTCTCAGTAAAGTAATACTTCCTGATATTATTTTTAAACCTTTGCCCCTCTAATTTAAGACTATGTCCTCTTGTTGTGGTAGTTTTTCTTCTTTTAAATACAGTCTCCTCCTTTACTGTGTTGATTCCCTTTATGTATTTAAATGTTTCTGTTATATCCCCCCGTCTCGTCTTTCCTCCAAGCTATACATGTTAAGTTCCTTTAACCTTTCCTGGTAAGTGTTATCCTGCAATCCATGAACCAGTTTAGTAGCCCTTCTCTGAACTCTCTCTAGGGTATCAATATCCTTCTGGAGATACGGTGTCCAGTACTGCGTACAATACTCCAAGTGAGGTCTCACCAGTTGTAACGGAGCTTCCTGTATCCCGGTTGGGTACCTCCGCCGACGGACACCCTAGTGCTCACCGAGGACTGCAAGCACTCCACCAGACACCATCGGCACCGCAGTCTCCACTTCCAGCATTACAGCTTAGCTGGGAACCCGCCGTCTCCTACCCACCCTGGACCTACGACAAGGCTCCAGGTTCCAGTGGGTGAACCTCTCTTCCTCCAGAGAGTCAAGCAGGAACAGCTCTTAAAAGAGTTTAGCGATTATAATCCCTGGGGAGATAGTGATATAAAATTCCCATGGGTAGACGCAGCTTTTTCCCCCACACATGAGATGAGACTCTATGTTGAGGGTAAAACCCAGCACATCTCAAGGGGTTTATTGAACAGCTTGGTCTTTTATACAGTTTTTCCCACAAGGTTACCACCCAGATGGACCTTGTGGGGCACAGGGACACAGGAACAACAAGTCAATAAAAGCATAGTTTTACATTCAGTCACTCCCATACAGTGTACACAATCCCTCCCCTCTGCCTGTGATATAATTAATGATAACGAAGACAGTGGACTAACTTAATTAACTCTAAGCAGAAAAAACATAACTTTTTACAAATCCCAAAAAGTACCCCAAAAGACAACATATCCCCACAAAGCCCTGATCTGGGTGAACAACATATCCAAAAATCACCCAGATCGGTTGAGGGGTTCGGGAATTTCCTGGAAGTCTTATTTTTTTCCCACCATGCACATGGTCCCATGCCCAAAACAGTTCCATACACTCGACGACAAAACACTGCTGGACAATTTAAGATGGCCGCCGCCACCACATGTTTGAATCTGTTTCGGTTAAAAGTCCAAGGGTCAGAAACAGTACTTTTGAACATGGGTTATCACAGGGTAGGAGGGTGGTAAACAGGCCCCTCCAAAAACCAGTGGCAAAGTTGCTTTCGTCACACCAGTGTTCTGTACAATGGTATGAGCACTTCCCTCTTTCTACTGCTAATACCTCTCCCTATACAACCAAGCATTCTGCTAGCATTTCCTGCTGCTCTATTACATTGTCTGCCTACCTTTAAGTCATCAGAAATAATCACCCCTAAATCCCTATCCTCATATGTTGAGGTTAGGACTCTATCAAATATTCTGTACTCTGCCCTTGGGTTTTTACGTCCAAGATGCATTATCTTGCACTTATCCACATTAAATGTCAGTTTCCACCAGGGCTGCCACCAGAAATTTTGTGGCCCCTGACAAAGCACAAGATCTACCCTCTCCTCCCCCCCGCCCATGAGTCCACCCACAGGACTCCTACCTAGTTCGCTGACAATGATGCAGGACTGAATGTGGTGTGTATAGTGGAAGTGAATTAGAAAGTGTGTAATGGTTGTAGTGTTTGTGTGTATTGGATATTGTTTGTGCAGTGAATGCAGAGTGTGTGTTTGTGTAGCAGATGCAGTGTGTATAGTGAACGCAGAGTGTGTTTGTGCAATGGATGTAGTGTTTGTGTGTAATAGATGCAATGTGTTTAGTGGATGCAGCAATACCACCGGACCACCAGGGATGGAATCTCCCCCTCCCTAAATAGAGAGCCGGGGTGGGGCCCGCAGCTGCACACATATATAGCGATCATAGCTATATAAATGTGCAGGGAGGGAATGTGGGCCGCCGGACCCGTGACAACCATCATCGTTGTCACCCCCTGATGGCGGCCCTGGTTGCCACAACTCTGGCCATTTTTCTGGTTTACCTAAATCATTTGCCATTTGGCTTATCCCTCCCGGAACATCAACCCTGTTACATATCTTAGTATCAAGACAAAAAGACATACCTTACCATCAAGACCTTCTGCAATATCACTAATAAAAATATTTAACCCCTTCCCGTCGGATAGTCTTTCTCAACAAATTGCTTTTTATTCACACTTTTAAAATAAAAATAATAATACTCGCACCTTTTTTAAAGAAGTGTGTACAAATACTGTTATCAACAGACATAGTTGCCACTACAAACCATGGCTGGATAGCGCCCCGAAGAGCCAGTTCTTAAGACTTAGGAGATATTACTCTAAACTTGAAGACTTCGAAAGGCAATCCTCAGTTTTAAAAGACCAATTTGTTGAGAAAGACTATCCAGAACATGATCTTAATACAGTCATTGATCAGATAAAGACCCAACATAGAAATTCACTTCTAACCTATAAGGATAAAAATAAAGATGCTCCATCTATACCTATTATTTTTTTACTTTAACAGTAAAAATAAAGAAGTAAAAAAGATTATTAATAAGCATTGGCATATTTTATAACAGGACGACATATTGAAGACGATTATCCCTAATAAGCCTAACATTATATTCAGAGGAGCCCCCAATTTTAAGTCTATCTTAACTAATAATTTTTCTCGATCCACTAATATTAAAAAGAAATCTACAAGATCCGACTTCAAAGGTTTTTTTAAATGTAAAAAATGCATCGTCTGTAGAACTACCAATAATACAGTAACTGCTAAAACCACTCATTTTACCTCCAACATCACTAAAAAGACTTACACAATAAAAGATTTTATCACGCTTGACACTAAAAATGTTATATATATATATGTTGGAATGCCCATGTGGACTTCAATACGTGGGCATGACTTCCAGATTTCTCAAAATTAGAATAGCTAAACATTGTCGCAATATCACTAAAGGGTATGAAAATCATACGGTCTCCAAACACTTTTGTAAGCACCATAACAACCCACAATTTTTAAAATTCATGGGTGTCCAAAAATGTAACATTCCATGGAGAGGAGGCAATATCTGTAACCGTCTAGGTAAAAAGGAGGTGGAATGGGTTTTTAATTTAAGAACTTTAACCCCAGAAGATCTCAATGCAGATTTCCATCTTTTTAACTTTTTATGAACTTTGCAACGTGTCTTTTGTTTTATCTTCAATTGTTATTTATTAAAGGGACATCATAGTCACCCAGACTACTTCAGCTCAATGAAGTGGTCTGGGTGCCAGGTCCCTCAGGTTTTAACCCTTCAGATGCAAACATAGCAGTTTCAGAGAAGTTACATTTGGGGTTAATTCAGCCTCTAGTGGCTGTCTTCCGAATTTCGCCTTCATCACGCAGAGTGTCCATAGGAAAGCATTGAGAAATGCTTTCCTATGGACACTTTGAATGCGCGCGGCATTTGCCGCGCATGTGCATTCGGTTCCGCTGACGTCAGACGGGGGAGCTGACGGTGGGGGAGGAGAGGTCACCAGCGCCGAGGGAGCCCGGCGCTGGATTAAGGTAAGTGGGTTTTAACCACAGGAGGGGGACTCTGAGGGTGGGGGCACCCTCAGGGCACTATAGTGTCAGGAAAAACGCTTTGTATTCCTGACACTATAGTGATCCTTTATTACTCATACAGATTTACTCTGACATTTCTTGTTTATTCTTCTAGTTATTATTACTATTATTCATTTTTCTCTTTAATATAACTATTTCTTCATTGTCCGTATAGTGTATACTATTCATTAGTTTTTTCTTATTAGCGTTTTGTATTTTACTGTACTATCCTTTTTTTCACTACCTCACCTTAGAGGTATCACTTTCATTTTCCTTTTCGATAATTTACATTTTCATTTTCACTCACTTCCCCATATATCTCTGTATACACTTTCACTTTCCCTCCCCCTGAGTGAATAGTTAGTTTGTATTGTGATAAAGTGAAGGCAGATAGGCCTTTTAACCCCAGGGGAAGTACGTGTAGTTTGTGTGTTGCACAACACAAAGCATTGTTTAGTTATGGGCCCCTGGGGTGGAGCATTTGGAGAGAAGGGTGGGCCAATGCTCCACTCCACAGTTTAGTGGTTTTCTGGGGAGACATAGATCCAAGCCAGGGTTTTTTTGACCGTCTCCAACCCACTGCTCAGCTGCAGTTAATGAGCTGTTGCAGTGGGAATAAACCCCTCCCAGCTAGGCAGGAAAAGGAGAGGGATTGCTGGCTTCATCCCAGGAAGCAGGTGGGAGAGAGGCTGTTCTCTCCAGATAGAGAGTCAAGGAGACTAGGTACTGGGAGTGCAGAAAGGAAGCAGTCAAGGCTGGCTTGGAGCACTGGGAGTGCAGGAGGAAGCAGTCAAGGCTGGCTTGGAGCACTGGGAGTGCAGGAGGAAGCAGTCAAGGATGTCTTGTAGCACTAGGAGTGCAGAAAGGAAAGCAGTCAGGGCAAGGCTGGCTTGGAGCGGAGAAAGAAAAGCAACAGGCTAGCTAGCAGAGTGTTGCTAACTAATAAGGTTGGTGCAGTATGTTTTGTTAGTTTAACCCTGATAGAGAGGGTTATTCAAAGTGAGTCAGTGCTCAGACGAGCTAGGTTTTTGTTTAAAGGGAAACCTGTTACATTTGTTTTCATTTGCTGCTGTATCCTGTGTGGATTTGCAAATAAAGTGCCTGGAGTATATGCAATTACAAGGACTGTGCCTATTGTTTACCCTAGAGGACTGTGCTACCTGCAAACAAGGGTCACAGTATGTACTACACGGGTTTGCCATGCTAATACAGCATTATAGTTTTCTAGCACCTCCCCTCTCTGCCATTCACAAATTCTATCCTCATCAGTAATTAAGCCGAGATTGTTCATGTGACCCTCTGCATCACCTTCTTTCGTCACTACTGTGCTTTTCGCTCGTTTCCTTTATATCACAATCTTGGCATAATATATCTTAATATATTATCTTCCTATTCCCTTCCTATCACGCTCACGTCCGTTTATAGCAGGCTATGACGCAAGAAGCGTCCCACCCCCTGTCCCTTTTCACTACATTTCCCAAGTTTCCCATCTATTAGACGCCCATAAGTGACGTCACTTCTTCGGTAACGCCCATTTTCGATCGTTACCATTTTTTAAGGTTTTACATTTTCTTATTATAATAGTCACTGTAGCGGAGAGCTGGTATTACACAGCCTATCTCCACTTTAGATCCCAGGGAGGTTCAGGAACAAGCAATTATAAATCCATAGGTTAAAGTATCCAGCAGGCAAAATAACACAGCAGTATCCCAACAGCAATCCCAATAACTGGACGACACACAGTATCAGGAGCAGAACTAAAGATTTATTCACACAGTGGCTTTATAAAGCCTGCTCCCATGCAAGGGAGGGATTTCCATTAATTTGTACAGTAGCCAATCCTGCTCTGGTAACCTCCCACACATCTCCTCCCCTCATCCTCCTCCTGCATCATAATCCCCTTATCCAGGACACCAATTCCCCCCATTTCTGGATGTACCCCTAAACCTAGGGGTACCACTTTAAATTATACATCCCCTGGTAGCCCTGATCTGGGTGAACAACATATCCAAAAATCACCCAGATCAGACCAGGGGTTTGGGAAATTTATGGAGGGAATAAAATGACTGACCGCACTGGAGAGAACAGCCGAATGGGGTTCCATGCGATGGGGCCCTGCGGTCGGTCCTGGAGTAAGGGAATAAACTGCACGAAAGCCTCTAGCTACAGAGACTAGGGAGGATTCGCCTGAATCCCCTCGTTCGGTTGTTTCTATCTACCGAACGAAGGGTCGTTCGGTAGTTTGGAACCTAACGGACCGGGCTTGTGGAGGTCTCAGCGGTGTTCGCCTAGTCGAGTGTCCGATTTGAGTTCCAGACACTCGACGGCAAAACACCGCTGGCCGGGGTTTTTAAAATGGCCGCCGCCACGTGTTAATTTCCCGAATGGCGGTCACCCCCGAGAACAAAGGACGGCTACTCAGCTTGTCAATTACCCGTTCGCAACAATGTTGCAACGGATAATTGAAGGCACACTTCACACAGGGGAGGTCTGACTGTTCGGTAGTTTCATTCGAACAAACTAAGGGAATGAAACTACCTAACATTCAGACGAATACAATACATTTAACACATATAACTTTGCCATTTTACACGAATGCATTCAAACATATATAATTCTCAGGACAGCCCAGTGCCATCCGCTACAGTCACTATGAACAAAGCTTGATGCATATTTTAACATGTTATGTAATTTTACTATTTTAAATGTACATATGTAATATCATGGTTGCGACCATGTGACCATGACATAATTTTACCGCCAAATTCAAATTTTGTATGTATTTTACCCTATATAAGTTCGTACTTGCCAGGTATGTGCTTGATTACCACCTGAAAAAGCCATTTGTGGGTGAAACGCGTTGTGGACTTATGTTATCATCACTAATGTCTTATTAAAGGTTTTGTTATCTTTTACTACCAATATTAGTACCATATAACTTTTCTTCTTTTTTTTTTTATTTTTATTATTATTATTTATTACCTGGCATCAAGTTTTTATGTTCCCAGCGAGGACCTCACAAAGTATCCCTGTTGGGGATTATACCACCTACGCTGATGGCCCTGAGCGGGTTATCTGCTCAGGTAAATGTGAGTATTATCCATTTATTTCTTCTCCTGGCTATATATATTTTATACAGAGAGCACTATCTGTTGTACTTTTTTTTACATATCCTGCCCACAAGATGCGTACTGGCCTATATCTTCCATCATATCCCTGAAGTGGGGGAATAATACCACTGCAAGTGCTTCACACTAGAGCTGGTTTTAAGCGCTATCACATGTGAGTAGGCCAATTTGGATTTCCTTTCACCTAAGCTTTAAATATATTTTAAACATATTGCACTATTGGAACTCTTTTCTTCTTTTTTATGTCCCTGGACTTCAACTATCTGGAAGACTAGAGTAACGCAGGTACAATCATTGTATTGTCAGGGATATCCTAGGTAAAGTGACTTTATAACTATGGGCATACTCTCTGGTTACACAGATACAGAAAGTCATCACTTTACAACTTCCTGCTTCAATACAGGTGAGTCAAATATTTCCTTAATATTTAAAGGACCACTTTAGAACCCAAACAAATGTCATCTCATTGATGTTGTTTTGAGGTCTGGAGGTCCTGGGTGCTATCATCCGTTATGGGATTAAAACATTTTTGAACAGTTTAACCCCACTGTTCTCTCCATAGCACCGTCTGTTCAGCTCATCTGCCTTCTACACCCTCGGCTCCAATGCAGAAGTTTTTCTCTGTGGTGCTGACTATCAAAAGCCGCCCAATGAGAGAATTGCTTTAGAAAGGTACCTTTTCAAAGCATTTCTGTCAATGGATGTCCAGTGATAGGCTAAGAGCACCCTAAGAGGATCTCCATCACCGGCACCTAAAGGGGAAAATCCTCTTCACTGGACTGTGGGCTGGGAGAAGAGGCTGAGCGTACAGGCACCATCTAGGGGACTTTGGAGTTAAACCATTTGAAAATGGTTTAGCCTCATAAGGTAAAATAGCGTACAGGACCTCCAGACATCATAATGACTTCAAATGGTCATTATGGGACCCAGAGTGTTCCTTTAACACCAGAAATGTTTAAAGTCAATTACCAAAACTAATGTAATTCAGTAAATCATGGAATATGGGAAAAGTGCGACCCTTACCCAACCAGTATTCTCCATTTGCATTTCCGAAACCCTTCTTATAAGTCTGCCAGTTTTGGTTGAAATCCACTGACCCATCAAAACGATTCTGAAATACCTGAAGAAGAGAAAAGCCTAAATATGCTAATTCCATTCTATGATTAAATGGGAATTAAAGCCTACCAATGGTTCTCAGGGAACAAAAACAGTACATGATTTGTCAATGAACTGGCAAATGTTGTGGACGGTTGGTGTGGTTTACCAACTGGGTTGTGAACCTCTGGCCTAACCAATCCCAGAAATTCCCCATCCATTTTGAGTCCCACTTTCTTACCGTCCAAACTCTCCGGTTGGATGTAATATCGCAGTACACAGGCAAAGGATTATAGGAACCTTCTGGGTATATGGTATACTCTCCAGATAGGAAGCCTCTTTTCCAAACATCTTGGCAGTCCAAGGGGTACCAGCGATCCTTAACACTGGATTGGGGAGCTGCAAATATATTGAATTGATTAGGTAATATGCAGGTCGGGGGTAACATGCCAGGGAGGATTTGGGGTTTTCATGAGCTGTAAGCCATAATCATCGTACTTATGACAAATCACGGCTTGAACTATCTTGCTTTGCATGTAATGCGTCTATCTCATATATTAGTTTCCCCTTTTACGTTGCATTACTGAAATAAATTAACTTTTGCACAATGTTCTAATTTTTCAAGTATCACCTGTATACGTTCCTTTATTTCATGTTATTTCAATTCCTGTTTAGAATCCTTTCTGTATTTCCTGATATTAGAGGATACAGTGTATTTCCAGCTCCCTTAATATATATATTGTATAATTATCCCTCGTATTATTATTATTATTATACTCATATATATATATATGTTTTACTTTTCCTCATAGATCTCTATTCAAAAAATGTTCCTGCTTCCTGGGAGAAGCATTCTTCTGACACCTTTTTTGGTAGGGGAATTGTACTATCGCCCACTTTTTGCTTTCTATTTTCAATAATTTCATAAATTCTTTTTAAAGGTGTATACTCCCTGATATTCAAATTTTTCGAGTATCACCTGTATGTAACTATTATCAGTCCGAACCCCATTTTAGTAGATAGACCCATAAAATAGAGAAAGGGAGTAATTTGCTAAATCCTAGATTTAAGCGAGCAACATATGTGAATTTATGTGAAATGAATATCATGATAACTGAACTATAGATTAGGAAGTAGTTAAATGACATGAAAGTACTGAAATGGTTAATATTTCAGTGAACGGTCTCTGTAACATTGCTAAGGGCTCAAACTCTCGAAAATCCAGGAGAACAACTGAAATACTATTCAACAAAACATGACTAACTGAAATTCATGCGAATGCGTAGTGGCTTGAGAAACATCCGAAATGTAACGTCTAAGTGTTAAACAAAATATACTCATGCAAATGGAATGTTTATGCGAACGTTCGGTTGGTTAGCATGTGTACGAAACATAATAATTTATATGAAACCTGGTTTCCACGAACACCACGAAGGGCACAACAGCTCCTATGATGCACCGTACACTGTAGGTACGAATACAAAATAGTACGAACACCAGCTGGGGGCGTTCGGGAGACAGCCTTGCGCTACCTGCTAAGACCACGAGACAGGAATCCGGAAGCGGACCGGCAATGTGGCTCTGATGCAGTTTGAAGTAAGCTGGTAGCCCGGAGCGGTTGGATTTCGTGCATGAAGGCAAGTACAGGGAAATATTTTGGCAGAAAGAGCTGAACCGGAAGACCACGTGGTAACCAAGGTAACGTATCACCTGAACGAGAACAGCCCAGGTAAGAGGGTAGTGGGAATTTGTATAGCATAAGATAGATTCAAACTCCTCTCACAAATACAGGCCTATGGCATTAAAACATAAAACTTGGTTAAAACAACTGGATTCTAACCAAATTTACAATTCTCAGATTTACAAAAGGCAGAAGGACATTTAGTAATTTCAACTGAATATGTATATCTCATAAGATTCCATTCAGTGTCTGCTCTAAAATTTGTAATTTTCACATGCTAGTCTTGTATAAAATATATGATTTGCATATTTATTAATTTATAAAGTGTATCCAGATTTACTATAGATTCTACAAATATTGTAAGATAGGTAGAGACAGAGATAAATAGAGATAGATAGATAGATAGATACTGTATAAATAGATAGATATTATTATGTTATTTATATAGCGCCATCAAATTCCGCAGCGCTCTACAATGATAGATAGATATATACTATATAGATAGATAGTGTATAAATAGATAGATAGATACTGTATAGATCGAAAGATAAATAGATAGATACTGTATAGCTCGATAGATAGATACTAGATAGATACGAGAGAGAGAGAGAGACAGAGAGAGAGAGACAGATAGATACTGACAGATGGATAGATATTATTATTATGTTATTTATATAGCGCCATCAAATTCCGCAGCGCTCTACAATGATAGATAGATATATACTATATAGATAGATAGTGTATAAATAGATAGATAGATACTGTATAGATCGAAAGATAAATAGATAGATACTGTATAGCTCGATAGATAGATACTAGATAGATACGAGAGAGAGAGAGAGACAGAGAGAGAGAGACAGATAGATACTGACAGATGGATAGATATTATTATTATGTTATTTATATAGCGCCATCAAATTCCGCAGCGCTCTACAATGATAGATAGATATATACTATATAGATAGATAGTGTATAAATAGATAGATACTGTATAGATCGAAAGATAAATAGATAGATACTGTATAGCTCGATAGATAGATACGAGAGAGAGAGAGAGAGACCGAGAGAGAGAGAGACAGATAGATACTGACAGATGGATAGATATTATTATTATTATGTTATTTATATAGCGCCATCAAATTCCGCAGCGCTCTACAATGATAGATAGATACTATATAGATAGTGTATAAATAGATAGATAGATACTGTATAGATCGAAAGATAAATAGATAGATACTGTATAGATCGATAGATAGATACTAGATAGATAGATAGACAGATAGAGAGATAGATAGAGATAGATAGATCGATAGATAGACCTTACTCTTGGCTTTGTGGAGGCTTTTTGTTAAGCCTTTAGATGGATTCCCGAAGCTCATATAGGTATGGTATACCAATGATAACAGGAGAATCTAGGGAAAACACATATGTATTATATTATAAAAAATAATGTTTATTATACCATGAATATTTGAATACAGGGAGTATAGATTATATACACAGTAACACAGAGCACATGCAGGCAGAGTTATACTCTAAAGGGTGAAACGTGAATTCTAAATTAATGTAGTTACAGCATACTAACCATATCACAAGAAATTCTACAAATTTCAAGTTTTCTATTCAGCTCTTTAATCCTTAATTCGAATTTCACTTTTCATTTCTGACAATTTTGTACTTTAGTGAATCACCTTGACGTGACACAGAGACTGACAGACAGACAAATATAGACGGACACAGAGACAGACAGACAAATACAGACGGACACAGAGACAGACAAATACAGACGGACAAAGAGACATACAGACAAATACAGACGAACACAGAGACAGACAAATACAGATGGACATAGAGACAGACAGACAAACACAGACGGACACAGAGACAGACAGACAAATACAGACGGACATATAGACAGACAAATACAAACTGACACAGAGACAGACAGACAAATACAGACGGACACAGAGACAGACAACTACAGACGGACATAGAGACAGACAGACAACTACAGACGGACATAGAGACAGACAGACAAATACAGACGGACACAGAGACAGACAGACAAATACAGACGAACATAGAGACAGACAGATGAACGGGCTAGGATAGATAGACAGACAGATAGACAGATACAAATAGATAGACAGACAGATCAGATAGAAAGACAGACAGACAGATTAAATAGACAGACACAGGCAGACGGACAGACAGATTAGACAGACAGACAGACAGAGAGAGAAAGAGATGCTGACCAAGATAATAACAGAGAGACATTCAGACTCCAAGTACGACAGGCAGTCACACAGATAGACATAAAGACAGGCAGGGAGACAGACAAAGAGAGAGACAGATCATTAACTAATTTTGGAGCGCTAAAGTTTAGAAATGTGAAAAATGAAGAAGAAGAAGAAGAAGAAGAAAGGATTTTTAACTTTCTCTGAATATCTGGATTTCCTTAATTTCAGGAATAAAATAGATATATTAGTGCCGTGCACTGGTGTTATATCCCAACACACAACTCAGAATACAACCCAACACAGAGAAAAGTGAAGCAGTATTATTGAAACGATGTGATTTTAAAAGGGTACGGCACTATTATTTGTAGTATCTGTTTTTCCGCATCCCTGAGTTGGCTGAATGATTGAAGATGCCGATTTTTTTTTGGTGTGCGGAATATGAACTAAATTATACTGCTCCACAGAGACAGAACAGATAGAAAAACATAGATAGGAAGACAGACAGGAAAACTGAGAGACAGACAGACATAGATTTCTCACCCTCATTGTGTGGCTGGAATCAGTGCTAGCTCTTTAGATCTAACCAACCAGTATCTGACATATACAGTATATAAGCTGCCAGTCTATATATACCCCAGCTCGTGGCATTAAGAGGAAGCACACACTGGGGTTATAAACTGGGGGAAATCCAAGCACAGAGAATTGGACATTGCTTTGTAGAAGAAGTGCACAATCCATTAACCCTATGCAGGCCTGAGGATTTACAGAAAGAAAGCAGAGCTATAATTGGAAACATTCATATAAGATGCTCCTCATGCTTTGGGTATACATGTAGGACACCCACATTTTGCTTTGGATGGTCCTGTGGAAATGAGCACCACACCAATTTTTAAATGACAGTGTCTGGGAGTGTGTATCTGTATGAGTATTAATGTCTGTCAGTTTGTGTCTGAATGAGTCTTGCTGTCCATGTGTGTGTCTGAGAATGTGACTTTGTGTTAGTTTTGCAGTCTGTCTGCATCTGAGTGTATATAACTGTGTGTCTGTGTCTGAGAGTTTAGATCTGTGTGTTTGTGTCAGTCTTGCTGTCTGTCGGGGTATGTGTGTGTCTGGGAGTGTATTCCTGCACAAGCCTTACTGAACATATGTCAAGAGGAGGGCCCTCCAGTTGATTTGTAAGGGAGCACAAGAGTTTTGAAGGCTGAAAGCCTGACTTTCAGTAACTCTGAATATTCTGATTGAAATAATCATTAGTGTGTGTCAGTAATTGTTATGTATCCACTATGTATGTATGTTATTGTGTGTAGCTGACAGCAAGGCGTGACCGCCCCTTTGAGAGACCTGGCTGGGAATGAACTCACAGCTCCAGCATCCCAGTCAGGTTCTCAACCATGCTGTCCACCAGGGGGCTTCAGTATCTGGCTGCTTTATTATATTCTATTTATAATATCCCTTTTCCAATTGGGGTCAGCTGCACCTAATTAGCAGGCTGTAAAAGCCAGCCCTGCCTGAAACCTAGGATCTGGTCATTTTGTTGGTTTGGTTTTGCCTGCCGGATCTTTGCTTCACTACTGACTGATTTCCTGGACTCTGACCTCTGCCTGCTTTACCGACTTCGTTACTCCGCTGCCAGCCCTGACTTCTGCTTCTCGTCTGACCCTGCCTTTGGATTTCCCCTTAATCTGTACTGCGCTTCTGGTTTTTGCCTCCTCCCAGTGCCATCTCCTGCAAACTGGGCTCCAACCCCTGGTGAACTGTTACAGTAGCTAGTTTCTGTGTGTGTGTGTGCATGTGTTGATATTTATGTGTGAACGTGGCTAATCAGATGTGCGGCATTAGGACACGAGATGTGATGATTGGAGGGATAGGATCAGCATGATTTTTCTGTTGGATCCATCTGTTGAGCAGGTGTTCCTGAACCCGGGATTCCTATATAGCAACTGCCCCAGAGACAACTGCCCCAGAGACAACTGCCCCAGAGACTGCACCCTAAATCCACCAATAAAGCATTGACGTCACATTAGTCTTTACCAAGAAATGGGACTCTGCAGGATTTATCCACCAAACAACGAACTCTGGAGAACTGAGAAAGGAATTACAATTTGCAAGACAAAATAGCGGAACTTCTCCAACTGAACCATTATCCCAGCTACTTTGGACTTGAATTTGTAACACTGCTATTTCTCCACAATTTGTGGATTAGTGAATAAATCAAATCATACCATCAAACATCACTGTACCTTAAAGCTTCTTACAGGGAACCTCTAGACACCACAAACATTTCTTCTTATTAAAGTGGTTATGGAGCCGATTTTCAGTGATAAGCTGTTTTTGATTGTTTTAAGCCTGAGTAAATATCCCAGAGTTCGAACAATCTGTGCGACATTAGCCTGAGCAGCGATGGCTGGCGGTGATAGGCTAAGAGCCAGAGGAGGATTAACATACCATGGGGCCCTTGGCAAGATGCCAGTAGCCAGAAAGAGAGCCGGACCAGGGTGCCCAAGCAGGGCCGGTGCGTCCATAAGGCGGCACAGGCGGCCGCCTTAGGGCGCACCGGCCCGGGGGCGCAAATGTCCGGGTGGCCGGCAGGAGAGAAGCGCACAGCTCCCCTCTCCTGCCGGTCACTTCTTGTAGCGTGGCCGAGCGCCAACCTGCAGTGCCGCGGACTGTGTGGAGGGGGCGGGGATATGAACGTCATATCCCTGCTCCCACTGAAGCACACAGCGCGGCTGGTGCCCAGCAGGGGCGGAGCTACGGGCCCCCTTCTATTCAGCATGGGAGGAAGTCGTCCCAAGAAGACTAGAGCAGGAGAAGGCAGAGAGGAGGGGGGCTGGGCAGGACCAGCTCCTCCAACTCCCAACTACCTTAGGCAGCACTTTGGATCCCAGGTAAGCCCCCCTTCTGAACCTGTTGGTCAGTGTGTCTGTGTGTATCTATGTCTGTCAGTGTGTGTGTGTGTGTATGTCTGTCAGTGTGTGTGTGTATCTATCTCTGTCAGTGTGTGTGTGTGTCTATGTCTGTCAGTGTGTGTGTGTGCATCCATGTCTGTCAGTGTGTGTATGTATATGTCTCTGTCCATGTGTCTGTGTGTATCTAAATGTCTGTTAGTGTGTGTGTCTGTCTGTTAGTGTGTCTTTGTGTGTCTTCTTCCCTATCATTGTGTATGTGTGTCTGTATGTCACTGTGTGTTTATCTGTATGTCTGTCAGTGTTTGTGTGTACCTGTGTGTCTATCTGAATGTGTATCAGTTTGTGTATATGTATATCTGCATGTGTCAGTGTGTGTATCTTTGTGTATGTGTATCACAGTGTGATGCGTGTGTGGCAGTGTATGTGTATATGTGCATATATCTCAGCATTCAAACACAACACTACACACAAATAAACACCTACATGCAAACGTCAACACTACATACAAACACACCCCTGCATTCAAATGTCAACACTACATACAAACACACCTCTGTATCAGACACCAAAATTATATATAAACACACACCTGCGTTCAAAAACCAACACTACACATAAATGCATGCTTGCATTCAAATGCAAACACTACATACAAACACACCGCTACAATCATACAAACATACTCCATACAAACACATGCTTACAGTCAAACACACAAATACTGCTCCATGCTAAATACAATCCTGCAAGAATGGGGAATCGGTAGAGCCCCAGCTTTCAAAGCATTGTTGAAGTTGCACGACAGATGGGGATCTATCTTTTAGCCATCCTGTGTACATACACAGACCGTCATACAGAGACATACAGTATGTATGTCTCTGTATGACTGTGTAAATGTATTCAAAAGGAATAAACGCAGGCAACACTCCAATAGTAAGGATGGTATATTTATTGATAGGTGAACCACCCCAAAGAAAGTGCGTCGTTTCGGCTCAGCAGAGCCTTATTGCATGAGCTGAAACATCACACTTTCTATGGGGTGGTTCACCTACCAATAAATATACCATCCTTACTATTGGAGTGTTGCCTGTGTTTATTCCTTTTGAAGACTTTACTGGTGGATCCAGCAATGTCTGCCTGACATGGAGCATCCACCTCTGTTGATGGCCGGAGCATTTACACGGTGTCAGTGTGCAGGGTTCTTTGTTTGTCTGTGTATGTATGTCTCTGTATGCCTATCTCTGTTTCTTTATGTCTGTGTATGTATTTCTGTGAATGCCTGTGTCTCTATGAATGTATGTCTGTGTTTGTACGACAATGTACCTGTATGTGTAGATTGTATGACTGTGTTTGTTTGTGTGCCTTTTATGACTGTGTGTCTGTATATCTTTGTGACTGTGTGCCTGAAAAATGTCTGTGCTTGTATGGTTGTGTGTCTGTATGTTTGTGTATTTGTGCATGTATGTATTTTAGCCTGTATCTATGTCTATGTGGGAGAAAAAGAGAGATAGATAGGGGCTGGCGGGGAAGTAAGAAATACATAAGAGGGGTTGTAGGAGACACACTAAAGGGGGGTGTAAGGCACAAAGGGGCCAAAGGGGTAAGACATTCAAGAGAGTCGATATGCAACACTAATGGGGGTAAGAAATTCAAAAGGGGGCTACGAGACACAGAGGTGAAGATGCATTGTTTATTTATTTTTTTTGGGGGGGGCGTCAAAATGCATCTTCGCCTGTGTAGTCAAAAATCCTAGCACCGGCCCTGTGCCCAAGGATCCTCATTCAGTGGTCAACTGATGGAAAATATGGTTCATTATTAAACTGTTTTGGTTCTCTAAGTACCATAATCACTTCAATTAAATTAATTGGTTATGATGCCTATCATCCCTTTAATTGAAGTGGAAGTACATGTTGTTTCACCATCTATCGATACAGCTTTATATGGTTTATAATATCCCTCTATCGATACAGCTTTATATGGTTTATAATATCCCTCTATCGATACAGCTTTATATGGTTTATAATATCCCTCTATCGATACAGCTTTATATGGTTTATAATATCCCCCCTATATCGAGCATACACAGTTTAATATAGGTATTATCTACATCTAATACAGCTCGACGCCTTTATATGGTTTATAATATTCGATACAGCTTTATATGGTTTATAATATCCCATCGATACAGCTTTATATGGTATAATATCTATCGATACAGCTTTATATGGTTTATATATCCCTGTATCGATACAGCATTATCCCTGTTTCAGAGTGTATCGATAGCTCTCTATCTACAATAGTTTATAATATCTATCGATACAGCTTTATATGGTTTATAATATATCGATACAGCTTTATATGGTTTATTATATCGATACTGGCTATCGATACAGCTTTATATGGTTTATAATATCCCTCTATCGATACAGCTTTATATGGTATCGATACAGCTTTATATGGTTTATAATATCCCTCTATCGATACAAGCTTTATATGGTTTATAATATCCCTCTATCGATACAGCTTTATATGGTTTATAATATCCTCTCTATCGATACAGCTTTATATGGTTTATAATATCCCTCTATCGATACAGCTTTATATGGTTTATAATATCCCTCTATCGATACAGCTTTATATGGTTTATAATATCCCTCTATCGATACAGCTTTATATGGTTTATAATATCTCTATCGATACAGCTTTATATGGTTTATAATATCCCTCTATCGATACAACTTTATATGGTTTATAATATCCCTCTATCGATACAGCTTTATATGGTTTATAATATCCCTCTATCGATACAGCTTTATATGGTTTATAATATCCCTCTATCGATACAGCTTTATATGGTTTTTATATCGATACAGCTTTATATGGTTTATAATATCCCTCTATCGATACAGCTTTATATGGTTTATAATATCCCTCTATCGATACAGCTTTATATGGTTTATAATATATCCTCTATCGATACAGCTTTATATGGCTTTATAATAATATCCCTCTATCGATACAGCTTTATATAGTTTATAATATCTCGCTATCGATACAGCTTTATATGGTTTATAATATCCCTCTATCGATACAGCTTTATATGGTTTATAATATCCTCTATCGATACAGCTTTATATGGTTAGCTTTATAATATCCCTCTATCGATACAGCTTTATATGGTTTATAATATCCCTCTATCGATACAGCTTTATATGGTTTATAATATCCCTCTATCGATACAGCTTTATATGGTTTATAATATCTCGCTATCGATACAGCTTTATATGGTTTATAATATCCCTCTATCGATACAGCTTTATATGGTTTATAATATCCCTCTATCGATACAGCTTTATATGGTTTATAATATCTCGCTATCGATACAGTTTTCGTGGAGGCAGAGAGCAGCACCTGGTGAACCCCAGGTAAATCCATTCTAAAACAGTCTGACTACTTATAATAGATGGGCTGTAGTGGTTATGGTGCTTGCAGTCTCTTGCTACATTTTTATCTTACATTACCAGAATGCAATTCATGAAATATCACATGCTTTCCTCACATGGCGCATTCCGATTTTGGTGCAAGCGTGTTTTTAATATGAACAGAAGGAACAGAACACACACTTTGATTTATTTATTTATTTCAAAAGCGCCACCATAATCAGTAGTGTAGTACAATCAGGAGAGAAATCTGAACAAGCTCTCAAAGCTAAACAGCGTATGTGACGCCAATTATTTATCACAGACAATGCTTGTTTTCTTTTCTTATTCTTTCATTTCCCTGTTTCAGAGTGTCTACAATTTCTAATAGTAATCAGGCAAAGTCTTTAAGACGTGAATCAGGACCATAGATTAAAATATATAAAGTGATGGAGATGGTTCTGACGGCCAGGGGAGCTGTCTGGAGATATTATGGACACGTTATTCTGATGGAGGAATGGCTAATTGTGGCTCTGCGATAATTTCCCAGATTCTCATCCAGAGATCGAGTTAAAGATTCTAGAGCATCATGTCTCCAGCTGATCTAACCGCTTTGGGGAACCATATAATGACCTTAAAAACAAACATTCCTTTGTTCTGTGTACAGACATTTCCAGGCAGTTATCTAAAGATATTTCTACTTCCTCCTTTTTGTTGTTCTTTCCCCAATGAAAACAATGCTACTTGTTATCCGACGAAAGTCCCTGGATTTATCAGACCACACGGTACATTGAGTTAGTTTGGGAACTCTTTGTATTTATTTCAATAAATTGTCAAATATTACCCTAAAAGACTTGGGATGGGGTTAGTATATGGTATATTGAGTATATTTTATAAAAATTCCGGTTAGGTCTAACCTTAAAGGGTTATTCCAGGCACCAGGCAGCATGCTAATGATTTAAAGTGGTCATGGTGTTTGGACTCTGGATGTACGGTGTTCTGCTATGATACTCTACACTAGCACTGGTGACAGGCGTCTAATGGCGGCACGGCACACCCCCTCAGCCCATCCCCAGCATACGTCCCCTTGCCACTTCTATTAGGAGGTTAGTTTCAGCCTAATGGTTTTTTTTTTGGTTTTTTTGTTAAGTTTGGGGGTTACTCAGGATAGGAATGCTTACTCTATCCAAAGACCCAATGTTATTAAAACACTCTTTTTTGGTTGGAGTAACCCTTTAACATGGGAGATATATGAGAACATAATATACCCAACGACGTATCTTGTCTTCCATGTTAAACTTAGAGTAGGCCTGCACAGTCTGTGCTTGTGTTTCCCAGTTACAGTTTTTTTTACATACATTGGTCATTTCAGATTCTTACAGGTCATTAATTTGCACCAATAGCCTTTGTGTTCCATGAGAGGTCTCGCAGTCAGTCTGGGCGCTAGAAATCTCGCAGTCAGTCTGTGTGCTCCATGAGGATTCTTGCAGTCAGTCTGTGCAGTGTGCTGGAGGTCTCACAGTCAGTCTTTGTGCTGTGTGCTGGAGGTCTCGCAGTCAGTCTTTGTGCAGTGTGCTGGAGGTCTCACAGTCTGTCTTTGTGCTGTGTGCTGGAGGTCTTGCAGTCAGTCTTTGTGCAGTGTGCTGGAGGTCTCACAGTCAGTCTTTGGGCAGTGTGCTGGAGGTCTTGCAGTCAGTCTTTGTGCAGTGTGCTAAAGTTCTCACAGTCAGTCTGTGTGCCAGAGGCCTCGCAGTCAATCTGTGTGTGGTGTGCCAGAGGTCTCGCAGTCAGTCTGTGTGTCAGAGGTCTCGCAGTCAGTCGGTGTGTGGTGTGCCAGAGGTCTTGCAGTCATTATGTGTGCCAGAGGTCTTGCAGTGAATCTGTGTGCCAGAGGTCTCGCAGTCAGTCGGTCAGTCTGTGTGCTGGAGGTCTATATTGTGCCAGAGGTCTGGCAGTCACCCTGTGTGTGGTGTGCCAGAGATCTCACAGTCAGTCTCTATGCCAGAGGTCTCGCAGTCAGTCGGTGTGTGGTGTGACAGAGGTCTCGCAGTCATCTGTGTGCCAGAGGTCTTGCAGTCAGTCTGTGTGCCAGAGGTCTCGCAGTCAGTCTGTGTGCCTGAGATCTCGCAGTCAGTCTGTTTGCCGGAGGTCTCGTAGTCAGTCTTTGTGCCGGAGGTCTCGCAGTCAGTCTTTGTGCCGGAGGTCTCGCAGTCAGTCTTTGTGCCGGAGTTCTTGCCAATAGTTTTAAAGGGTCAATGATGAAGATCTTGCACTCAGTACGTTGATAATCTTTTGATCTTCATTTCGGTCTCTTTCATTGAGTTGTAAAATTCGTGTCAGGTTTCCCACACCATGCCCGATGCGAACAAAGTTATGTTGCCTTTCAAGTATTAGCCGTTCAGGTTGGCACTGTGGTAGTAGTTGTATCAGAATGCCCCACGGAAGACCTCAGCACAGTTATCGCCATCTCTGTCATAAGTGGAAAAATTCATCACGTTTGCCATAGCTAGAGAGTCTCCTGCCATCAGTAATTAAAGAAATTTGATGAGTTCTCATCATTTTCATCATCATTAGCACTATATGTTTTATTTATATCTGCTATGTCTGTGAGCATCATAATGGGACCATTTCTATTTAACATATTTATAAATGACACTGATTAACCAAAAAAACAAAAACATATTTATAAATGATCTTGAAATAGGCATTGAAAGCCATGTATCAGTGTTTGCAGATGACACAAAACTTTGTAAAGTAATAAAATGTGAGCAGGATATTGCTTTGCTGCAGAGGGATTTGGATAGATTGGGGGACTGGGCACTAAAATGGCAGATGAAATTTAACATTAAGAAATGCAAAGTTATGCACTTCGGGGTTAAGAATGCACAAGCAATTTACACCCTAAATGGTAGTGAATTAGGGATAACCACACACGAGAAGGATTTGGGAATTGTTATAGATAACAAATTAGGCAGCAATGTGCAATGTCAATCTTCAGTTGCTAAGGCCAGTAAGGTTTTGTCATGTATAAATAGGGGCATAAATTCTCGGGATGAAAATATAATTTTGCCTCTTTACAAATCGCTGGTAAGACCACACCTTGAATATGCTGTGCAATTTTAAGCGCCTGTTCTAAAGAAGGATATCATGGCACAGGAGAGAGTCCAGAGACGAGCTACCCCACGGAAGACCTCAGCACAGTTATCGCCATCTCTGTCATAAGTGGAAAAATTCATCACGTTTGCCATAGCTAGAGAGTCTCCTGCCATCAGTAATTAAAGAAATTTGATGAGTTCTCATCATTTTCATCATCATTAGCACTATATGTTTTATTTATATCTGCTATGTCTGTGAGCATCATAATGGGACCATTTCTATTTAACATATTTATAAATGACACTGATTAACCAAAAAAACAAAAACATATTTATAAATGATCTTGAAATAGGCATTGAAAGCCATGTATCAGTGTTTGCAGATGACACAAAACTTTGTAAAGTAATAAAATGTGAGCAGGATATTGCTTTGCTGCAGAGGGATTTGGATAGATTGGGGGACTGGGCACTAAAATGGCAGATGAAATTTAACATTAAGAAATGCAAAGTTATGCACTTCGGGGTTAAGAATGCACAAGCAATTTACACCCTAAATGGTAGTGAATTAGGGATAACCACACACGAGAAGGATTTGGGAATTGTTATAGATAACAAATTAGGCAGCAATGTGCAATGTCAATCTTCAGTTGCTAAGGCCAGTAAGGTTTTGTCATGTATAAATAGGGGCATAAATTCTCGGGATGAAAATATAATTTTGCCTCTTTACAAATCGCTGGTAAGACCACACCTTGAATATGCTGTGCAATTTTAAGCGCCTGTTCTAAAGAAGGATATCATGGCACAGGAGAGAGTCCAGAGACGAGCTACAAAATTGATAAAAGGAACGGAGCATTTTAGTTATGAAGAAAGGTTAAAAAAATTCAATCTGTTTAGTTTGGAAAAACGGTGCCTGAGAGGGCCAGTACAAACCTTTATCTGGGAATCTATTCATAAACAGGGTTATACATAGGACACGAGGTCACACATTTAGGCTGGAAGAAAGGAGATTTCATCTAAGGCAAAGAAAATGTTTTTTTTACAGTAAGAGCAATAAGGATATGGAATTCTCTGCCTGAAGAGGTGGTTTTGTCAGAGTCCATACAGATGTTTAAACTGAAATTGGATAAATACTTACAAAAACATAACATACAGGGATATAATTTCTAATTAGTGGGGTAATAGCTGCTTGATCCAAGGAGACATCTGACTGCTATTTTGGGGTCAAGAAGGAATTTTTTCCTAGTTTGTGGCAAAATTGGAAGCGCTTCAGACTGGGTTTTTTGCCTTCTTTTGGATCAACAGCAAAAACATATGTGAGGAAGGCTGAACTTGATGGATGCAAGTCTCTTTTCAGCTATGTAACTATGTAATAGACATATTCTTTTATCATACATAAATATCCAAAATATCAGAAATCCAAAGTAGACTAGGTTATCTATCTGTAATTGGAAAACAGGTATTAGTTTCATCCATAAAAATCAATTATATATTTGTATCTGGATATATTATGGGTGTAATAGACAAAAGTTGTGTAAAGGAGAAGAAAGAAGAAAAAGAAAGAAAGAAAAAGAACGAAAAATAGAGAATAAACCCAAGAGCTCAAATAAGCCCAGCTAAGTCTATTTCTTGATTTAAACCATATTTTAAAGTTTTTAGATTAAAAATCCATTGGGCCTCTTTAGTATTAAGCAAAGTCTCGCTATTTCCTCCTCTCCAGTGTTTTTCTATTTTATCTATCCCAATTGCTAGGAATGTGTTCCATTGAAACTGAGGACAGAAGGTACAATGTCTAGGTACACTATGGTCTAATTTCTTATTTTTTATATTTTGGAAATGTTCCAACAATCTGACATGTAGTTTTCGGATAGTCCGACCAATGTATTGTGCTCCGCAACCACACTGTAATAAATAAACTACATGGGTGGTGGAGCACTGAATGCATTTTTAATATGATATGTTCGTTGTGTATATGTGCCCATAAATGTATTGGTATTCTTTTTTTAGAAAGTGCAAGTAGAACACGTTCCACATCGGAAAAAACCTTGTAATAATTTATTAGAAAATATATGTGTAGGTTGTGTTGGAATGGTTTTAACTGTAGGGACTACACTTGGGGCCAATTTATTCTTTCAATTATCCGCCTTCTTGTAAATTCTAGTTGGTTTGTTTGGTTATTATATACTATATATTATTATACGATTAATTATATTTTGAATTTCCCTAGTTTGGGAATGATATTTAGTTACAAAAGCAAAATCAAACTTATTGCCATTTCTATTTTTTGAAACATTTACACTTGTATACCTCTCACTTATCCTTGTATCTGGAGTATTCGTTAATCAATATTGTTGTAGCAGATTCTCAAAGCCGTCTTTGAGTGTTATGCCTAATAATTGGTTTCTGTAGCCCATGGATCAGCGCAGCTAAGAGGAATAGGCCTTGACAGAGCCAGGAGGTAGGCATAGCAGCCACAGGGAGTTAATGACAGCTAGCAAGCTGGGTAGGACGGAGTCATAAGGGGAGTATTTATACCAGCCATTATGTGAAGTGGCCATTTTAACTGAACCTAAGCTTACCTGTCAGTTGTGAAAGCTGCCTGCCCTGGAGGGAGAAGGCAGCAGCATGGAGGTAGCATAGCAGAACAGAGGCAGCATGGAGGTACAGGAGAGGCTGGAGTGAGCTGCTGCTGCTGCATGCTCACTCCCATCAGCCTCAGACAGAACTCCAAGCAAGCCACCATCCTGGTCACAAAGGTTGTGGCAGAAATCATGGCTGGTGGCTGCAGGAGCAGCTGGGGGGTCCCGAGCATGTCTGCTCCCCCCCCTCTACGCGGCGATGGATCGGAGGCCAGCAAGGAGAGCGAGGCCGCCCCAGCGACAGCCCTAGAGTGACATCGGCAGTTCGGCGGCGCAAGAGCTTGTCAGGAGGCGGCAAGGGGAAGGCTGAAAATGAGGCGAAAAGCAGGCAGGAGTTGGATGGCGGCCGGCGCCATCTGTTCGACGCGGCGCTGGTCAGGCAAGGTGGCAGGCCGTGATGAGGCCACACAAGAAGAACGCCCCCTGCCATAAGGCGGGGGGGATGGGAAAGCACAAAGGACAGCGGAATCCATCATGACATGATGGCCGCCAGGCAGGGAGAGCGGCAAGAGGCGTCCCGGTGAGTCTGCCCCTGGTGGCATACCTGAGGGACGGGGGAATGATGCAAGGGGCCAGCAGTGTAAAAACGGTCCCCCCCCAATGGGCAGGCGGGGGGGGGGGTCCAGGTCGGCGGGACACAGACGGAGGCGGCCCTGGATGGGGTCAGGGTCAGGGTCAGGTCAGAGGTGAAGGAAGGGGATAGTGAAAGCAGCAGACGGAGTCTTCAGAGGCGCAGCAGAGCAGCTATGGAGTGGAAGGCCAGCAACCAGGATTAATTAAAGGGGCCACAAGTGGATGAGGCGGCCGGGGAGAGGCCAGGTACTGCAAGCAGAGGGCAGAAGAGAGGACATGGACGGGTAGAAATGGACGTAAGGCACAGAGGCAAGCGGGAGCCCCCGGGGGGCGTTCTCAGGAGCAGGAACACAGGAGGAGTGTCAGCATGTGTGAGTACGGGAGGGAGCAGCGCAGGGACAATGACAGGCATAGCAGCAGCAGGAGGTCGGATGAGGGATGGAGGAGCAGGTGAGGAGCCCATCAAGAAGTCGGTGTGGTAGGAGGAGGTCTCAGTGCAGCGCTTCAGCTTCACCTGGCAGGATTTCACTAGGGCAGAGGCGTGACGCCTGCGGCCAGGAAAGTCAGGTAGCAAGAAGGAGCAGAGATTAGGACGACAGAACAGAGCGCAGGGAGGAAGGGCTGGTAAGGCTATATCAGAACAGACTACCCTGGTTATCTTCTCCCAGCAGGTCGAGGAGTGTTACTCCTACGGGCTTGAGGTGGGACCAGGAGTCGGCGTCCACCGGATACTCCAGAGCCTGGCAAGGTGGACGGAAGGACAGCACAGACGGGGGTTTGGGCGGTGAGTCAATAAACACACCACACTCTGGGAAGCTTTTTAAATTGCAAAAATCATTTTAGCGTCATGATCAAGGAAAAAAGGGGCCGTCCCCGCGGTGCGGAAGGGTGGGGTCACCGGAGGGCGGTCGGGAGGCAGAAGTTAGGGTGGTGGTGACGGCGTGCCAGGTAAGGGAAGGGGAATACGGTGTACCGGTACCGGGGACATCCGACGGGGCAGGAAAACAGTTAGATGTGTGGCAATATTCCAGGCACGTAGCGACGAAATGGGCACGTGTCCTTCGCAGGGACATTGGGGGGTCACTTGAAGTATAAGATTTGATTGAGGGGATTTTTAATTTTTTTTTCCTGTCTTCCGCTCAAGGAGTTCATTGATTTGAAAGGGGATGATAGGAAGGGGGCCGGAAAGGAAGAGGAGGGAAAAGGCGGAAGTATCGCAAGATACTGAAGACTTTGGGAATTGGCTTAGGGCTTTTGTATCCTAGTAGGGTAAGGTGCCTGGTTCCTAATGATGGTGCAGGAAAAGCGCTCTCTCCGGGGGCTGCCGGCTCGCCCCCAGGAGGTGCGGTGCTGGTCAGACAGAAGAAAAGCCAGTGCAACTGGGGACCGTCGGGTAGGCTTGGAATACGGGTGTTCCGGAGGCTGTGGGAGTCACAGTGTCAACTGACGTGTCAAGAAAGGAAAACCTAAGGCAGGAGGGGTACTCGCCGTGGCTTCAGCCCCGCGGTTGCGGCTCAGAGTAGCACCGGTGACGATCAGTGCGTTGCTGCCATGGCTAAGGCAGTAAGCCTCCCATGAAGGCGCTAGTTTGATGGCTGGGATTGTTGAGGGGGTTTTCGCTATTCCATTCAAAGTCGAGGGACCAGAAAAAGTGGTGGGCAAATATCAAGTCCGTGGGGGAACATCTGGGATTGGTTCATGAGTGGTCACGCGATGAAGCCCAATTGGGGGGATGGCGGGTCCGTTACATCCCCGCCATTAGCGGATCTGTGGGTGTCTCCGTGGCGGGTAGTCCCCTAGAAAGGGGCGGGCAGATTCCCTCTGATACAAAACTTATCGCACCCGAAAGGGGCATCGGTAAATGAGGACATCGATGCAGACCTGTTCTGTATCTTTGGCATCATTCGGCCTTGCCGTCAAGTTGGTTCGGGGGAGCGGGACGCGTTCGATTATTGGCGACCCTTCCATCTTTTGGGTTGTATGTTTGCAGGTGCCTATTGGTAGCCTCTGCTTGCCAAGGGGCAGTTCCATTTCATGTTCCTACTTCGGGAAGTTGGATCCGTCTGGGAGTGGGAGGTGAAAGAGGAATCAGGAAGAGGTTCCTTAGTACATTATCTGTAAGATAGCTTTCTGTGTGAGCTCGGCTGGGCCGGGCCATTGTGGACATACCTTACTGTCGCGGGAATCCTACCACACATCTTTGCTTGGGCTGGAAATTGTTTTGGTGGTAGGAGAGTGTTGATTGCCTGGGGATCAGTTGACTGCACTTCGGGAGTTCAGGGTGAAGGTTCGCAGGTCCAAGAAGGTCACGCTGAGAAATCGCAGTTGTTCATAAGGCAATTTCAAGTCGCATGTCGGGTTAGTCGCGAGGAATGGGTCTGTAGCCATTTCATGGCGAAGGCTACTTGTGGAGCCTTTGCGGGTGGTATCAAGTTGTTCACGGATGCCTCTGGAAACATAGGTTCCGGGGCATACCTGGAAGGCAGGTGGTGCGCTTAGCGGTGGCGGGAGGCATGAAGTTGGCATCTTTTGAGTTATTTCCATTGGGAGTGGCCGTGGCTCTAAAAGGTGAAGGATTAAGGGATGAAAAGTCGTAATTCACAGACAATACGGCGGGGTTCATGCGGTTTACCATCCAGTCGGGTCCTCGGTTCAGGAGGTACACTGATGGTGGCGATTCGTATCACTGTGCAGGTATGGGGTGCAGGCATACCACCTCATCGGCTGGTCTGTTGTTAAGAATGTTAATTTTGGCATGTCTATAAGTTTAATAAAGCTGTGCATTATTTTGGGCAATAAGATGGCCTGGTTCAAGATGACCCATCTTAAAGTTGATAAATAAACTAAAACCTTAGTTTGTTTCTTTTAAATAGTTTAGTGCCGATTTTCATCCACTTTTCAGTAATAAAAAGGGAACAAAACATTTTTTAGATACATAAATGAGAAAAGGAAAGTAAAACAAGGATTAGTTAGATTAAAAACAAAAGAAGGAAGGTATGTAGAAGAGGATAAAGGTCTAGCTGACTGCCTCAATAAATAATTTTGTTCTGTATTTACAGATGAAAATGAAGGAAAGGGACCTCAGTTAAGAAAAAGGATAAATGAGTCATTTATTACACGTGAGTTTACAGAGGAAGAGGTTCTATTTCAACTGTCAAAAGTAAAGACAAATAAGTCAATGGGACCTGATGGAATACACCCAAAGCTATTAAAAGAGCTTAGTGGTGTACTAGCAAAACCATTAACAGATTTATTTAACCAATCATTGCTAACAGGAGTAGTGCCAGAAGATTGGAAGTTAGCGAATGTTGTGCCCATTCACAAGAAAGGTAATAAGGAGGAGTCGGGCAACTACAGGCCAGTAAGCCTTACTTCAGTAGTGGGGAAAGTGATGGAAACCATGTTAAAGGATAGGATTGATGAACATCTAAAACACATGGATTTCAAGATCAGAGACAACATGGGTTCACTTCAGGGAGATCATGCCAAACTAATCTTATTGATTTTTTTGATAAGGTAACTAAAATTATAGATCAGGGTGGTGCAGTAGACATTGCTTACCTAGATTTCAGTAAGGCTTTTGACACTGTTCCAAATAGAAGGCTTATCAATAAACTGCAATCTTTAAGTTAGGATTCCAGTATTGTTGAATGGGTAAGGCAGTGGCTGAGTGACAGGCAACAGAGGGTTGTAGTTAATGGAGTATATTCGAAGCATGGTCTTGTCACCAGTGGGGTACCTCAGGGATCTGTACTTGGACCCATTCTCCTTAATATTTTTATTAGTGATATTGCAGAAGGTCTTGATGGTAAGGTATGTCTTTTTGCTGATGATGCTAAGTTATGTAACAGGGTTGATGTTCCAGGAGGGATAAGCCAAACGGCAAATGATTTAGGTAAACTAGAAAAATGGTCAGAGTTGTGGCAGCTGACATTTAATGTGGATAAGTGCAAGATAATGCATCTTGGACGTAAAAACCCAAGGGCAGAGTACAGAATATTTGATAGAGTCCTAACCTCAACATATGAGGAAAGGGAATCAGGGGTGATTATTTCTGATGACTTAAAGGTAGGCAGACAATGTAATAGAGCAGCTGGAAATGCTAGCAGAATGCCTGGTTGTATAGGGAGAGGTATTAGCAGTAGAAAGAGGGAAGTGCTCATGCCATTGTACAGAACACTGGTGAGACCTCACTTGGAGTATTGTACGCAGTACTGGAGACTGTATCTCCAGAAGGATATTGATACTTTAGAGAGAGTTCAGAGAAGGGCTACTAAACTGGTTCATGGATTGCGGGATAAAACTTACCAGGAAAGGTTACGGGGGGGATATGACAGAAACATTTAAATACATAAAGGATATCAACACAGTAAAGGAGGAGACTATATTTAAAAGAAGAAAAACTACCACAACAAGA